TGTCTGATTTCCCATAAACTGGAAGATATGCAAATGAAAAGTAACAAGTTGGCAGAAGAAGCATCAAAGATAGGACTTCACGTGAACATAGATAAAACAGAGATGATGAAGATTCCTTGCCAACATCAACAGCAACAACAGACCACAATAAGCATAAATGGGAAGAACCTGAAAGAAACAACCTCCTTCACCTACCTGGGAAGCATCGTCTCAACTACAGGCGGAACTGACGAGGACATCAAAGCCAGAATCGGAAAAGCAAGACAAGCTTTCATTACTCTCAAATCTGTGTGGAGGTCAACAGCAATCAGCATCAAAAATAAGATCCGGATTTTCAACTCCAATGTGAAGTCAGTGCTACTATACGGATCAGAGACTTGGCGAGTCATAAAGAGCATCTCAAACAAACTTCAAACCTTCATTAACAACTGTCTCCGCTCAATACTCAAGATCAGATGGCCAGAAAAGATCAGCAACAGGGATCTCTGGGAGCGAACCAATCAGGAACCGATTGTGAAACAAATAGGCAGAAAGAAATGGAGATGGATTGGCCATACGCTGAGGAAACCATCAAGTGACATCACTAGACAAGCCCTCGAGTGGAACCCGAAAGGGAGGCGGCGAGTTGGTCGTCCAAGGGTGACTTGGAGGAGGTCATGCGAAGAGGAGATGAAAGCATGTGGGCAGACCTGGAGCAGGGTGAAAAAGTTGTCAGAAAACCGAAGTCAATGGAGGTGCGCAGCTGAAGCCCTATGTTCCTCTAGGAACTAAAGGATACAATAATAATATAATAATAATAATAATATGAGTGTTTGTTGACAGTCCGTTGCTTGGTGACATATATCCATATATGTTTGTTGGCATGTCTGCTATATTCGCTATGTATAATTGGATCGACACTCCATTATAATTAGCCATTCATGTTAAGACTGTCTAATGATTTTTCCCACGCTTGTCTGAATTATTTATATATATTCGCATTCACAATTTGTGTGAACTACTTTACTTTACAACTACTTGACTTGCTTACCACTTTGGTGTGAGACCATTTATTTTCGTCTCCTTGTGTTTGGACAATAGAAGTATCATCGCAAACCTAGTGGTCTTCTGATTTCCGCCTTCTCGCGTCAGGACTATTAGTTTCTCGATCAGTCCATAACAATAATTCAGCGACGAGTACATAACAATTTGGCGACGGGGAAACTAGAACATGACAATTTGGCGACGGGGAAAAACTCCTATTCACCACACAGCAACAACAACATAACAATTTACTATGGATCCTATTAAATTGGAATTATTGTTTGAACGACAAATGAAATTAATGGAAATGTTCGTCAACCAACAGACTGGTCCAGCTCCACCTTCAAGCAATCCCAATCATACCATGCTACCATCTGTCGACGGAATTGTGAACAGCATTTCACAGTTCAATTATGACCCAGAGGCTAATGTCACTTTTGACACATGGTATCAACGTTATGAGGATTTATTCACAGTTGATCTCGCCTCACAAGACGATGCCTGGAAGGTGCGAGTTTTGCAACGTAAATTGGGTCCGGCAGAATATGAACGGTACTGCAACCTAATTTTACCACAGAAACCACGTGACAATTGTTTCGATGATACAATAAAGTTGCTGCGTGAACATTTCGGAGACCACTCCTCATTATTCAGTATACGTTATCGTTGCCTCAAGCTGGCAATGAATGAAAATGATGATTTTCTTACTCACGTTGGCACAGTCAACCGAGAATGTGAGAGATTTAGACTCAGGTCCTTAACAGATGATCAGTTCAAAGCCTTGATTCTCATATGCAGTCTCCAATCTCCTCGTTTCACAGATATCCGAACTCGACTGCTCAATCAGCTAGAACAAAATCCCAAGTTAACATTACATGACATAGCTGATGAATATCAACGGCTGATTAATCTGCAGAAAGACACACACTTGGTCGAATCAACACCTTCCAGAAGCTCTGATATTCGTGCATTACGCAAGAGCAAAAATCTCTCATCAGCTACTCCTGACCCATCTACTTCTCCTAATGTTCCGCGGAAATCTACAGATACTCGTCCAACTTCACAAAATACGACAAAGAAGACCCCTCCATCACCATGCTGGCATTGTGGCGCGTGGCACTTTGTAAAGTCTTGTCCATACAAAAATCATCGTTGCAGCAAGTGCAAGATCATCGGTCACAAAAATGGTTTTTGTCAGCCACGCAAGCCCAGATATCAAAATCCAGCAAAAGCTCAACAAAATGTTGGTCCTAAATCCCCCAAAAAGTCATTGAGTCTACGCGCAACCCGTCAAGTCACAACGCCAGGTATGCGGAAATATCTTGATCTTCAGATGAACGGTCATGATGCCCGTCTGCAGCTAGATACCGCCTCTGATATTACTGTTATATCAGAGAAACTTTGGAATTATATTGGCAGACCACCTATCACCAATACTTCCCAGTCTCTTGTCAGCGCCTGTGGTGGGCAGCTCAAACTTATTGGTGAACTCAAATGTTCTGTTTCTTTCCGCAATACCAAATTCACAGGAATTTGTTACGTCACGAAGAATGATTTAAATGTTTTGGGACTTGATTGGTTCGATCGTTTGCATCTGGCTGATGTCCCACTAAATTCGCTATGCAATGCAGCCAAGAAGCATAAAATGTTAGACAATTCCGGACGGAGCCGAAGCCGCAAACCCAACAGTCAGACGAAACGACAGGCGTCAACAACAAGCCCAAAGGTCCCAGATAAACCCCCAGGTAAACATCCTACTAATCATCCATCTTCTCAAAAGGGGAGGTGATATGTATCCACATATATATATTTATGTGTGTGTGCATGTTGGTCTCTCTTTCTGTTTCCTCGGTTAGTCTGTGACCACTTCACTTGTATGGACTTGTCTCCTTTAATAATGTGTATTCTCCTTATATTATATTATATATAATATGAGTGTTTGTTGACAGTCCGTTGCTTGGTGACATATATCCATATATGTTTGTTGGCATGTCTGCTATATTCGCTATGTATAATTGGATCGACACTCCATTATAATTAGCCATTCATGTTAAGACTGTCTAATGATTTTTCCCACGCTTGTCTGAATTATTTATATATATTCGCATTCACAATTTGTGTGAACTACTTTACTTTACAACTACTTGACTTGCTTACCACTTTGGTGTGAGACCATTTATTTTCGTCTCCTTGTGTTTGGACAATAGAAGTATCATCGCAAACCTAGTGGTCTTCTGATTTCCGCCTTCTCGCGTCAGGACTATTAGTTTCTCGATCAGTCCATAACAATAATTCAGCGACGAGTACATAACAGGAGGACACCAGTAGTATCATTCACAAAGTGGTTGGGGCGTTAAAGTGCCAAACTATCTGTTAACGCAGCTCACGACTGTTTGACTGGTTCCAACACAGAACTTTACACAGAAGTGCATCACTTCAAGTTACCACACATCATGTAGCACGTAATGGAAGATAAATGAGGGAAACAGAGATTTGGAAGAACGACAATAAGCAGAAATGTGAGGGAGAAAGAAGAGTAACATGGAAGAACATGAGGATTTAATGGATATCGGAGATCACAAAGAGTGTTTGATTTTGAGCCATATGATGAACAGTCTACAGCCATTGATTCTAAGGTATCTTGAGGACCCCAACCATACAGCCAACACCTGACTACGTAACTGTCTAAAATCCCATAGACTGATTCCAAGTTTTGGTTTGACTACCATTAGCTCTTTTCCAACCTGATTATATATCAGCTAGGATTGGAAGGTGGTGTCTTAGTATGTAAAGCATCTATCCTAGTCACTTTAATCGATGCAGATTCACAACTTGATCAACTAGCTTCCCCTCCTTACATGACACTCCGAGCCTAACCTTAGTATTACTCACCCTATGTAACCAACCAAACATAGAAGATACAACGCTAGCCTTTTGGTAACTTCCACTTTCAATGACCATGGCTAACTCACAGTCATAAAGGTGCGCAGTACATACATCTTTTGACCGATATATTCATACTGTACAAAATCCATAAATTCTACAATCTCCATAATCCTTTTTATTGTAGGTAACTAGTGCATCCTAAAAATTATATGCTCAATATACTTAATCACTAAGACAAACGCCAAAGGCAGTATACTGCTAATAATAATAAATTTTTCTTATCGAAGGTCATATACATGGATACACGCGGATAAATCAGCATATACTTTGAGAAAAATATCAACCAGGATGAAAAGGTATCCATACAAGTTGGGTAAAGTGTAAAGGGCTCAAGGATAGGTGCCATCTTACTAGACAATTTCCCGACCTAGAGCTGCTACCCACCTATACTTGATGACCCGGCCTACGTGTACAAGTACACCAATAGCTGAACAAGAAACATTGTTCAGAAAGGATACTCCTATAGGTCCTACGATACCACAAAGGTTATCTGGATAGCGTCTAGGCTGAAAGCCGTTATCATCACAATGTGGGTGAAGTCATACTACTGATAAATAGGGATGTAACAGTAGTAATTTGTTTCCGTTAGACAACCAACAAGCTAGCAGATCAGCCTTTCTGCTCTGAGGAGGGAACGTTAGAAAATAAAGGCCTCGAAAACTGGTCGTCTCGACTTACTGTCCAGCCGGTGGGTGGTAGGATCATTACACGGATATTACTCCAAAGATCAACTCAAAAAGGCCGCGGGTGACTCGGCCCCAAGCAGTTCTCCCCTGGACTCTATGGTCACAAGATAATAATGCTTCTTCTGTTTCAGGTACCTCAGGAGAAAATCAATTCCGTAAGATGTGAGCAACCGGGAAAGAACGATCACCAAACCCCCGACACACACACACTTCCACAAGCACCTAACATCATAATCGCGGCAAGCAACATATCACAAATCAAAAACCGATCGGAGATATTTTCATACAGATCAGTTAACTTTACATTTATATCGACACATCAGAAATTTAATGAATACAACTTACTTCGAATAAAACTGGTGCAATTAACTCCACAGGTGGTACAAATGGCGGAATTGGTTGAACGCATGTTTCAGTAACACACGGGACAATTTGATAATCTCTAATTTTCAATAGACATGTAGTCATTTCATTTAGATATTGAAATACATCAAGCATTGTACTTGGATTGTTAATTTTATAAAAATTGCCCAAAACACCTAAAAATCGACGCCAACAAATAATAATTGATTCATGCGTCCAACCAAACGCTGGCCCACCAGCAAGAATACATCGAGGTAAATCCATTGCAATCAACTGATCTTCTGATGTGACAAAAGGTGTTTTCGTAGGAGCTGGTGCATCAGTGACTGGTTGAAAACAAATTAAGGCAGAAAAAAGATGCACAGTAAGTCACAAAAAAAGTGAAATGAGTTCGCACAAACTATAGCATTATCACAACAAAGAAGTTCTATGGGTGAATGTTTACCAGCCATATGAGATTCGGGTTCTACTTCAGGGAGACGTACTTCACAACCTCTCCTAACCGATAGAAAACCCAACGATGAAGGGAGTTTGGGAGGAAAGGGCTAGCTATTTTAGCCAGATACTGGAGATTCAAAAGCTTGAAGTTCTGCCTTCCACTCGGAACGTAAAGAAACTTAAAAAATTGGGAGAAAAATATAAAACTATCACCGCCAATTTAAACTCACTAGTGACATCATTTACATTGGTAGTATCTGTATTAGGTGCTGCGCATGCAGTAGAAGCAGCAGCGGCAGTTAGTGTATCCCTGCGATTTGATTCTGAACTGGAATGTTCATCAGAGAGTATATCAGATGATTTAGGAATATCTGACGGAAGAAGAAGAAAAATATCACAACATTATGCGTCAATATAATTCTTCAAAATGTACTAACATAACTCAACAAAAAAAATAGACATAAGAATGTATAAAGAAACAAAATAGGATGAACAAGCTTCTTTGTTAGACATGATTTACGCATGTACTGATTTACGGCTTAAATTTCTGAAGATTTTGCTGTTCCCGTCGTCGTTTTTCTCAGTCTGCCCTTTAGTATCTATCAATGAGTGGGAAAAATTTTCAAGTGATCAGTTGGTTAAAAACGTGATGTTCTAAAGGTGTCAGGGGTTCAATTCCCGGCCATCGACGCAACCCTTTACCTCGCTAAGCCAGTAATATGACTGTTAAAGAGGGAAAGTTGGGCATGAGGCTAGCTACCCCACCCCCGTAAAAACTGAACATCACTGCTAACGAAACTTCAAAACTCTAGCCTGAAGCTCTATGTTCTACTGGAAACGTGAAGGAATACAAAAAAAAGTATACGACGTGATAAGGGATCAAGCGTGGGAAAACTTCCATTTTCCTGTGATAACGCTTATATGAGGCTACACTTTCACACACGCGGCGAGGTTATTCCTTACAAAAGTAAAAGGGTAAATATAAACGTCTGGCTCTTACAACCAGACTGGTAGGACATATAGGTTCACCTACACACCAAAAGGGGGAGGTGGAATAACCTCCATTCCAAACCTATCGTTTACATGGGCTACGGGGGCCAGGATGGCATATGAACACCTGATATTGCTCCACTGATCTGTGTATCAGACGTTAGGTGAAAGACTCAAGGGAGTGGGTAGTGCCACCTAAGGGACAACCACTTGCTTCAGTCTGACAGTCCTGACTGTATATCCCAGTCCTGGCGCATCTTTTGCTGCCTGTGATGTAGCAAATTTATTTTCTAAGCGATAAAAATTTGCCGGTCGTCACGTGTAACTCCTGTAATAATTAATGTTTTTTTCCAGAATGAGATGTATACTAATGTATTATAATATTAATGTTAACAGCAGAGCTAAGCGTATGAAGGGTAAAAAGTGAGGCTTTTCTAAGATAAGACAATAATAGATAATACTTTTAAGCAATGAAATGCATTTATAAACAATGCAAGCTAGAGAAGAAGATGGAAAATGTTTTAAAAATGACCTAATTAATTATAAAGTTAGGCATAAAGTTTACAACAATATGCGCCTGATCTACACAAAGAATTGAAACATTGAAGAAAAAAAATGAGAATCAATCATCTTTCAATTGTTGTTAATCTACTTATAGATAGACAGTAAGACAACTACTCAGAAAATTATTTTTAAAAAATAATAAAAAAAAAACGAGATGAAAAACAAACAAAATGACGGGAGAGAAGGAAAAACCGATAGCAAACAATAGACACACACATACACACACAGGCATCCATGCATGTACACGGGCGCCGACACATACATACATACATACACACACACACATGTAAATGTGAATTACACTCAGAGTAAATTTATGTTTTAAATAGAAAAATTAAATGTGATCATGTGAACATGTTGAATGAAAGGTACTTTTTTACAATGATTAGTTTTTAATAGAAAAGAGAAAGTAGTTAGCCAATCTTGAATTATAATGCTGTTGATTGGACTCATGTATATTTTAGCTAGCTAGTATTGACGAAAATGTATTCACTGGCGGCTAATATAACAGTTCGCCAGAGCAGTAGTAGTAGTATAACAACAGAAGACACGAGCCAGGCAACAGATCGTTTATTACGGAAATCAATACACTTCAGTGTGCATATATCAGTTCACCTGCTCTTGCGGAGCTAGGTAAATAGGTCGTTCTATGCGAGTCTTATCAAAACGTGTTAGAGAATATCATCCAGCATGGCTGCAAAGAGGAGGCACTGGTACAATCAGAAGCGCAATAACTGAACACCTCGTCAATACCTGTCAAAGAATCTCAACTAACTCATCATTTAGAGTCATTCATTTACAAAGTAAACAAAAATCTACCAAAAGCAGTGTGTTTCCGACTTCTTTGTACTACTGCAGAAGCTGTCGCCATATGCATCGAAAAGCCGGAGCTATGCGTTCAAAAGAAACTAGTCCAGCTTTTACAACTACCATGGACCTAGTTCGGTATGTTCCCTTATAGTTCAGTTTTTTTCTTTTGTTCTATCTGTATGTATTTTCCTCTCTTTGTCTTCACTCAATTCATTCCATTTTTTTCAGTTATAAAATCAGTTATTTTAAGTTTGTTTCCATGCTCCTCCTGATCATACTTGTAATCTGTTTAGAATAACCATTTTACAATTATATTCTAATTCTGTGTAATTTTTTGTTTCTATGCCTCTAGTAATCTATGTTCACACCTCCTAATTTACATTTCAAGTTGAAAATTTTGATTTCAATTTGTTTCCATGCTCATTTTTGCTCACACCTGTAATTCGTTCTATCCCTGCGTCTCTAAGCCTCTTGTAATTCATATCAAGTTGAAAAGAATTGTCACCTTTTATTCGCCTTTAAAATAATTTCTCTAGTTATCAAAAATAATAATTTTGCATACGTTGTAACTGTTTTTTAATCCTATGCAATCTTGTCTCTAAGCCCCTTGTTATCTATATTCGTACCTTCAAACTTTCATATCAAGTTGAAAATTATTATCACCTTCGTTACTATGTGGAATTAAGCAAATAAGAACTGTAACCATGTAAACTAATCTATATAAATGCGATTGTACAGCTTTTGAGAATGAAATCGCCGAAAAGATATCTTTGCTGAACTTCTTGTTCTTTTCAATCTAATGTATCTTGAATGTCAGATCATCTATATTTTTTATTTTTTTATTTCGATTTTATTTCATTTATATGTTAACTGTGTCTCCCTACGCAAAGCATTTCTTCTCATTTTTCTCACGACCAATATTGAGGACATAAACATTGACGTAAATTACTGTCCACCAATTTCGACTAACAGGCAGCTCTCACCACAGTAATAGTAGTTAACCTGAAATCGAGTGGTTTGAAGTGATTCATCTCTCTCTCTCCTAGAGCCAAACCATGTAACACCGTTGATGATGAATACGACCCAAAAAGAAGGGAATGGCAGCCAAAGGGTGTTTAGATAACTTCGGTTTGGTTGGCTAGCAAGCACTACTACTGATTGATGTGATGAGTGCTATACAAACTACTCATCTCCATCGACTAGTGGCATACAGTTTTATGATTTGATTTCCAAAGGAATAGAAAAGGACGAATTCGACTTATATCTTAACCACACTTGAGGTAATTCGATAGATGGTGGATAGCAGTCGAATCAAGGATGAGAATTTGTTTGTTTGGGATATCTTAGCTGAATTAACCTACATTTTCCGGTGAGTGGAGGTGTTTCCACTGAGACTGGAACTCGCAAAAGGTAGTCCTCATGGTCCAAGTGTTCTATTCTAGTGAATACCGTTTAGGCATCTATAAACGCGGGTATCAGGTTCGAGTCTCTTTGGGAACACCATCATTCCACTGGGGAATGCAAGTACATCCAGTTCAAAATAGAACGAAATGCTGCACATCCTTGATTCAACTGCTAGTTGCCAATCGCCAAATCACTTAATCCCCAATTATTTTCAAAACGGTAGTACTAGGAGACGACACATTAACAGAGACGGAACCACCACTTTAGTCGAATCTATCAACGAGATATCAACAAATAACAGTGCTACGGCTTTAGTTATTTAGCGCATCCTTTGACGATATGCCATGAGGAATCATGACATACTGAGTACTTGAGAAGAGAATGATTATTAGAATTAGGGCTTAAGGCAATTTTTTATACTGCGTCACTGGACAACAAGTTATTATTCATACCTGATGAGGGAATTAGATGAAACGTGTGAACACATGAGATAATAATAATAGTAGTATTAAATGCAATTAACATACTTGTGATTATAATCATAGTGAAATGTCAAGTAGTAAAACAATTAATGTCATTATATACAATAATACATAAGGTGTATAGATGTTGGAGTGGGGTGCATAATTATAGGATTAGTAGGCGAATATAAAATAATAATAATATTCGTACTAATAAGGAAAAGTACATGGAATAACTAAATAAAGAAAATACATAAATAAATAAATGTCTATCCCTCTACGACCAAGGTAGAAGTAGGGATTGTACATACGTCTTTTGTACACAAAGGTCTGGCTTAAAGTCATGAATTACCAAGGCCTCTACTGTCGTTAGGGGTTTATAACGAAGAAAACGCGGTTAGAAAGTTAGCATGAACTCGGTAGATGATCTTAAAATTATGGTCAGGGTTGGCAGAGTGACAGAAGTCGATCAACTGAAGATGATCAATTTTTATTGAATTTGAGATTTTCCCGTCGATTGATTGGACCGAAGTGCTCGGTTTCAGGTTGACATGTCGGCTTCTTGTGCAGATGCTTCGACGATGTCTGGGCATTTAGTTAGTATTTAATTGGTCGATGGTGACTAGCAGTGGAATCCAGGATGCGCATTTCGTCCTATTTAGAACTCGTCTCCCAGCTGGATGTATCTGCATTTCTTAGTGAGTGATGATGTTTCCACCGAGGCTCGAACCCAGCACCCATAGTTTCAAACGCCAAAGCGTTATCCACTAGACCACTTGGGCTACGAGAGCCACCTCTTGTGCAACGGGTCATATTAATTTTATTGAATTTGAGATTTTCCCGTCGATTGATTGGACCGAAGTACTCGGTCTCAGACCAATTGAAGATGATCAAGCTTCAGATATGCTCAAAAACCGTCTTTTTAAAGCAGTCAGTACGACGTTCTATGCAGCAAACTAACGAACGACGTTTACCAGCCGCGTAAGCTGTTCTCCATCTCTGTAGAAGATAACCTCTCCCATCTGACCGCCTTCATGTGCATCTATCAGTTCACCTGCTCTTGTGGAGCAAGGTGTATTGGCCGTAGCCAGAGGACGCTTTCCACATGGATACGAGAACATATTCCAGAAGCATGGTTTTACAAGGAATAAAGGAAGTGTGTGAGAAGCCCTATTTTAGAGCACCTGATCGACTCCTATCCATGATTTTAAGATCATCTACCGAGTTCATGCTAACTTTCTAACCGCGTTTTCTTCGTTATAAACCCTAACGACAGTAGAGGCCTTGGTAATTCATGACTTTAAGCCAGACCTTTGTGTACAAAAGACGTATGTACAATCCCTACTTCTACCTTGGTCGTAGAGGGATAGACATTTATTTATTTATGTATTTTCTTTATTTAGTTATTCCATGTACTTTTCCTTATTAGTACGAATATTATTATTATTACTGTTCTCCTTGTTTCCGCTTATCCCACTTGTCATTCTAAATCCTAAATTTTAATTTTTTATTTTAACAATACTGAATTCTATCTTATCAAATTTTACACAGTGTTATGTAACATTTTATATTCGCCTACTAATCCTATAATTATGCACCCCACTCCAACATCTATACACCTTATGTATTATTGTATATAATGACATTAATTGTTTTACTACTTGACATTTCACTATGATTATAATCACAAGTATTTTAATTGCATTTAATACTACTATTATTATTATCTCATGTGTTCACACGTTTCATCTAATTCCCTCACCTGATATAATTTCTTAAAGAAAACGATATATATATATATATATATATATGCGATTGTACAGCTTGATAATAAATTCGTTGTAGGAAAGAGTCTCTTCGCCGAATATATTCTGTTCTTAATGCTACAATGGGTAATATTAAATTATTATGTATACACGAACTATATAACAAATGACAGTTTGTAAATCTGCTGCATACGGCATAAAGAACAAAAATTTAAGATTTTCAATATCCATGTAAAGTCAGTCAGTGTGTCTGACAAACACACGTTACCCCCAAAGCATTCCCAAAAGACTTCAGACTTTCATCAAAAACTGCCTTCGCTGATTGCATAATGAAGATCAGATAGCCGACCAGGAAGCATTAGCAGCAAGGACGACGCCCAGGAAAATAGCCACCAAGAAAACAAAGCCCATCCATCACACATTCAGAAAAAAATGGAGATGGATTCGATACACACTAAGAGACTGTTGATTGCGTGATATTGCGTGCCATGCCATTGTTACACATTGGAACTCAAATGGGAAACAACCAGGCGAGCGCGTCTGAAAGTGACATAGAGAATATTGTGTGAGAAGATGAGAGATGCTTATAAGCAATCGTGAGGCCCAACTAAAGAGGACTACAAAGAACAGGAGAAATGGAGATGAAGCACCTACGTTCCACTCGGAATCCAAGGGAATAATAACAGTAATAATAACAGTTAAATATACATTATATTTACTTACCTGAAGGATGTAAATCACGATTTTCATTGAAGAAATCTGCTACGAAACCACCCTTAGGAGAATCAATATCGAACTAGAAAAACAAAAGTGGGGGAAAGGCGGTAAAGACAGAAATGTACACACACACATACACATCGATAGTGACGGACAAGTGAAATACTGAAATATTAACAAAGTTTTATTTTATGTAGGACACTTGACAAACATTTTTAATCTGAATAAAACAACGACTGCGTCGGTGGTGGTCCAGTGTTAGACTATTCGCCAACCAACTCCACACATTGTCTAAGGTGCGATTACCAGCCGATGTATTCCTAAACCTCGTTTAGCCAGTAGTAAGACCCAGTAGTAAGAGGGAACGGGATAGGCATGATTTAGATTTAAGTGAAACACTTTGAAGGAAATAATTCATATGAAGCTTTCAATGACATTTAAAAATACAATAAATGAGTTGAAATTACAGATATAATAATGTAACTACTTCGTGAGATTCAATCCTTCATAGATATTAACCAGTTTGATTCAGTGTTGGAGTTGTTGTTACCTGGTAAAGATTTCTCATGTACAAGGGGCTTTGAGCCACAGTTAATGTAGGAGGACTAATCATAATACCCTGAGGATCAGGCATGATTTAAAGTGTTGAATTTAACGACTTTACAACTAGATTACTAAAGGTGAAAGGGATACTCTTGTTAGAATGGATAAGGTATACGGACTGCTCACTATTAGATGAAAAATATTTAAGTATTTAGCTCTAAGTGCTGATCTACACTACAGAGAAAAGAACACGAAAGGGAAGACATTACTTGATGGCTACAGGATTTCATCATGAGCTGAAACTAGTTAGAGAACCATTGGAAAACACCTGGGAGTACTGGACAGCTGTTTCGTCAGCATATTTTGGGACTCTTCATCAGTACGCACCCACTGCCAGGGTTCGAACCCAGGACCTTCTGGTTACAAGGCTAGCGAGCTCGCAGACCATTAAGTCATTGGGACCCGATCCGATGGCCCATCCTAACTTTCTGACAATTCACGACGTAGCGCGACCGCCAGCCAATGTCTTCGGCGAGTATTTGTCCTCACACTATACCTGCTGCACCTAGTTCTCTAACTGGTGTCAGCTCATGATGAAATCCTGTGACCAATCCCAATATGTATTTTTCGCGGACCTAGCAGAGTTGTTAACCAATTACAACAACGTATTTTCCACTGAAATGGCCAAATTTTATTGTGGTTAGAAATACATAAATATAGTGCGTTTCCGCCTAATAAAGTTGTACCCTAACAGTAGTCACAGGCCAGTCTTTGTCTTTTCATATTTGCATAGCTTAGTAAAGCTGAAGGTACTAAGGGTGAATAGGCATATCTATAATATCAAGTGAGTTGTACACTGCGTAATAAGCCCACTCGGTTATAACAAGTAACGACAGGCACATAACAATTCAACCTCCATGGGTGCAAAGAAGAAGCGGCACTGGTTCAATCAGAAGCGTCATTATTGAATACCTGCCAAAGAATTTCAACTTAGTCACAATTCACAGTCATCTAAAAAAGTGAACAAAAATCGACCAAAGGCAGTATATTTTCTATTTCACAATATGTATCAAAAAGCCGGAGCTATGGGTTCAAAAGAAACCAGTCCAACCACTACATTTACCATAAGATCTGGTTTGATTTGACTCCTTCATTTCCGTTTGTTGTTTTTTCCAAATTCAGTTACAAAATCAATTATTTCAATTTGTTTCCATGCTCATCCTGGTCACACGTCTTTCTTACAAAACTACCTCTACGTATTACACAACTGTTTACTGTCTCTAATATGCATTTCTTCTACTTTCTTCTCTTGCTTTGTGTGTTACATGGAGGGAGTGTGGCGACTTGAACTGTCGCACATAAGTGCAAAGTTCTATGTCGAAAACAGACAGACAGATGGCGCAACTGTTTTTAGATCATGTGCAATTTTGTTTCTAAACCCTGTTGTAATCTATATTCCCACCAAGTGGAAGACATGAAAAAAGACTAGCTATTTTTGGTCATAAGTACCTGAGTTCTATCTCCCGTGTTATAATAGGGTGTGGAATATTGAGGTTGTAAAGCGTCTGTATTGATTGAGTTGTTCAGAATATGCGTTAACCAAGCCTAGGCTAGCCATAGCCTGCCTTCCTCGACAATGGACAATGTTGGCCACTGACATAAGATCATCAGGTTGGAAAAGAGCTAGCACATGGTGGTCAAACCAAATCATGGCTTCATCTATCGGTGAAATCCATAAGAGTTAGTTTAAGGCAACTAACCACGTAGGGAGGTGTGGACTTCCTGACTGGTTGTGATCCTCGGGATGGTAAGACATTCACACCTTCAAACTTTCATATCTTATAATAATCATATGACTAAGATTCTAGATGTTACAAGGCACTGATATTTATAAATATAAGGCCCTTAAATTTCTGTATTCGCACCTCTTCCTCGAGACACAGTTTGACATCCTCAAGCTAACTCTGAATTTTTTAAAATTGCATTCTAACGCCGATACCGATGGTATATCGTCTCTCATACCTGAACTTTCGCAAAAACTAGACGCATGTTGTCTGAATATCCTACCGACTTTACCCTGATAAGTTAAAATGTATAAAATACTACGTCGTCGATCACCATTTTTGCTTGACTTAGTCCTCTGATTTTTACCCCACACTTCTGAAAAATAAAAGTCACTCGCTCCAATTAGGTGGTTTTTACTTTCTCCCAAGAACGGATCAAATATAAACATATTAAAACCTTGAGCTGCAATCTACGAATGTTTGGCATGTGATTCGCTCCCGCCAAATGCAAGATGATGTTACAGGACTGGACTACACCGACTCCTAGTTTAGAAATAGGGAGTGAAGTGGTAGAGCACGTTGACCGCTTCACTTATTTGGGAAGTACCATCAGCCAACGCCAAAGGGTTGATCTCTGACGAAATCTCAGCACGGATACAGGGGGCTTGTTTCACATTTGCCAAATTACGCCATCTCTGGCTTAGACGTGATATCCGCCTGGCTATCGACCAAAGGGCGGGTGTACTGCTCATCAGTCCGCTCCGTCCTCCTTTATGGCTGTGAGCGAGACCTGGCCACTGAGGGTGGAAGACATGAGAAGACTAGCTGTCTTTGATCACAGGTGCCTGCGTTCTACCTCCCGTCTGAAGTGGTAAAATAAGGTGAGCAATATTGAGGTTAGGCGTCGAGTGCTAGGTAAGGAGGTTATGAAGTTACATAGACTGAGATGGTTAGGACATGTGTTACGCATGCCTAGTCATCGCCTTCCTCGACAATGGGCAATGTTAGCTGAAATACGGTCAGGCTGGGAAAAAGCTAGTGGCGGTCAAACCAAAACATGGCTTTACCAGTCAATGAAATCCACAACAATTAGTTTAAGCCAGCCAGCCAAGTAGGGAGGTGTAGACTTCCTGACTGGTTGGGGTCCTCGGGAAGGTAAAAACCAATGAAGGCTGGGAACAATTGGTGATATGGCTATAAATCGTCGTCTCAATGGCTGGCGAAGATGCATCCACTCCTTGTGACTTATGATTTCAAATGAAATTGTCTTGTTCTTCGATATTACTATTCCTTTGTCTCACACCTCTGTTTACTGTCTCTATTATGCATTTTTTCTACTTTCTTCTGTTGCTTTGTGTGCTACATGGAGGGAGTGTGACGACTTGAACTGTCGCACATAAGTGCAAAGTTCTATGTCGAAAGCAGCCAGACAGACAGATTAAAACAGCGTTCAGATTAAAAATTTTAAGATATACGGACGAGACAAAAACTGGACTTATGATCCTTTTTTAACTGTAGTTAACTAATCTGGGAAAAATTGCTGCAAAATTACGAAGCTCTGAAAATTTGTATAATAAAAGAATCATCAAATTTTATTACCTTTACAGATTCATGAAGAACTTCTTCACCCGATGCACAACTACTTGTATGTATACCATTTTGACTTAAAGAAAGAGAATCGTCTTCAGCACAACTAACTGCCGTCGACGTTCTAGAACCAGAATGATGATCACGATGATGATGATGATGATGGGTATCTGAAGTCTTTTCAAAGTATCTCTGATGTTTATAGCTATTCGGTGTAGTGAAATCTGCCGGTTGTGAGTATCTACCTGCAAGAGTACCAGTTGTCAGCATATCAAAAGAATCAGATAAATGATGGTGTTGAGGTACTTCAGAATGCAATCGACGTTGATATCCATCTCTGGTAAAAGAGCTAAATGTCGGATCAAACTTCGACTCTTTAACCCGCGGAGCACGTTGGTTAGCCTAAGTGAAGAAAACATAAAAGACACTTAATCGATTCCCTTTTTATAAGCGACAGACTCACATCAACTAAACACAACAAAAAATAGAAATCTAGCAAACACGGTTTTTGACCTACTTCAGGATCTCTTTCAGGGGAGTACTATTCGTAAGAACATGCAGAATCAAGCCGTCAGATTTAGTGGCAAGCTCACTGTCGCTCAAACAGTGAGGCAGAAATTATTATTAGTTTTACAGGTTTGTGAACTCATGATAAAACATGAATAAGTAATTTCCACAATCAAACAAACTGGTTATTTATTTATTTACTTTTGATGACAGCTTAATTCCACGCCGTATTTTTGGTACAAGAATGGAATTTTCAGTATGCGATATCGGTAGTCCGAATTTCGCAGGTCAACCGTTGATATCTGGTGTGTTTCAGTGGGGGGATCGAACCTCGGACCATGTGCATGGTCGGCGAGAGTCCTATGCCATCAACGCACAGTGGTTAGAACCCCAGTGTACAGGCGAAAATCCACGTTGTGATCATAAAAATAACGTTAACTTCTTATGCACAACTACTGTGAAACGATGTCATGCACGAATACCTAGAACCATAATATAAGCACAACAATAAAAGTGATTGAAATACAGGTGACTTTTATAAGGATGGATGAAGTTATGTAATAACATGCTGTTTTTTTTAATGAGAAGCATGCTCGATTACTTCACTGACAGAAGCTGGTATGTGCCTCAGGGTGATGTACCTTCTCCATTTCTTTCTTCTTTCTTTCTTTTAGCATGCGACCTACAGTATTCTTCCACAGCTAATTTCATTAAATATGCTGATGATGTGACAATTTCTGTCCAAATCGTTTCCGCATTGGATTATTCCGATATGATGAACAGATTCTTGTCAGAAATTAACAAATGGTCTCACCTAAATGGTCTTAAACTGAATCCATCTAAATGTCATATTGTTGAATTTAGTTTCAGATGTGAACAAGACTGGCGTCCGTGGATGAATTCAGTCGCATGATTCCTGTAATATGGACGGCACTTTGATAGGAGTAAATTGTTTGACTCACTGCATAAAGAAGTTGATAATTTCTGTTGGTATAACTCAACATCTCTTATAATTCATATTACTCTGCCCAATTCTTCTTCCCTGGGCTTCTCAAAAAAGACTTTCATATTATGTATATTACAGAAAAATGTAGTAGGACTGCTGGTGCGTCTTTAACTCAATTAATTGACATTGCTCTCAATAGTTATTTTAATTCCTGCAAGCGATTGGCTAAATTCATCTTGTCTGTTACCGAATAATTCTATTTATTTGCAACTTTGCCTTTGTATCCCATCCGGAGAACGACACCCAAAGAAGTTTCAAAAGAATTAATGCTCGTACAACAAAATATAAAAATTTAACCCAACAAAATTTGGGTTTAGGGGTTGTGTGAAGGAAGAGACAAATGTCAGAAAAGAGCCTTATAAACCCGGCTTTTAATTTCTACATCAATGGTAACCAGAGTTGTTATTGCGTAAACCACTTATCAAGTGATGGTTCACAGGGATTCAATTGGTTACAGGATTGATCACGGGATGAAATCAAGTGAAGAACCACTGGGAAACCAGCAGATAGTACTAGGCAGGTGTGTTTAGTCCTACTTCAGGACTCTTCATCAGTACAAACCCAGGACCTCCCGGCTGTAAGGCGAGTACATAGACCCTTCAACCACTGGCACCCGGCCCAATGGTCCATAAATCTCAACTTCTGTCAATTCGTGGTATGTAATTAGTGCATCCGCTAGCCAATGACACGGGCGATTAACTATCCTCTTGCCTGACTTGGTGGGCTTCAATCCCAGTGGATGCGTACCGATGAAAAGTCCCAAACTAGAACAAAGCAGTTTTCCAGTACTCCCTGCTGGTTTCCCAATGGTTCTCTATCTGATTTCATCCAGTGATCGATCCTGTAACCAATCAAATCCCCGTAAACCAACAAATGAAACATATATTATCTATTATCCATTACGTTCCACTAACATTCAATTACTGTGGCTTTATTATTTTCAGTATATTGTGTATTTATAAAAATATATATGTATAAGGAGCTAAATTGTTACAATATGTAAAAACGCTGAAAATTCCATATTGTATGAGAAATTATTGCTTGGAATAAAGCGATTACTATCACATTATACTATTACACCAAACACAATACCTACCTTAAATTGTAGTGTAATTTCACTTGTTGCCCGCCTCACTGATGACTTTTGTTTGCCTTTAACCAATGTTGAAACCTTATCCTTCGCATAAGGAATCGATTCTTCACATTCAGCTGACAACATCAGATGAGAATGTGGTCGTGGATCACATGACACATGATAGCATAATTCCCATTTAACTTTGCTGTTGACTCCTCTGCCTCCGCTTCCACCTCTTCATTGTCGACTAAATCATCATTTAAACCAAGTGAAATAGATTCATCTTCTTCAAGTGGATCATTCAACTGTGAAGCAGTGTTTACTTTTGCCTCTCCAGTATTTTCATTATGATATACATTTCAAAAGTCCATTTTTCAATGTATGGATTAGCTTTTAGCGGTTTTATTTCACGATAAGTAATAGCTTTTCAGAAATTTCTTGTGAATTCCTTCTACTACTACTTCTACTACCACTATGGCTAATTCTTCTTCTTCTTCTGCTTTGGTTTCTTATTTCTGAATGATCACCATCCTCTGGTTCTGTAACAATACCGCCACCAACACCAACAGCACTATCAACAGAATTTGGTGGCATTACCACTACCAAATTATCATCTAATAAATTTTCATGTACACTTAGCACAGATAATGCACTTGGGAAAGGCACAGGTGGGGGAGATAATGCACTAGTGGAACCGGTATAATTCAAGACTGCTTCAGTTAGAGATTTTGGACGTGCTCGATTTGTTACATTAGAACCTGTAATCACAAACAATAATAATAATAACAATATAATGAAGGAAGTTTGTAGCTCAGGTGGATAATTTGGATTTGACTTTTTTGTTCTATCTGAACTGGTTGATTTAACTCCAAAGCTTTCGTATGAATCATACAAACCAAAAGCCACACTGAAGATGTTGGTCTAGGCGGACAACGAAAGCTTCGCGATTAAATCAGCCAGCTCAGAGATTATTATTATTACTATTTCCTTTAATTCCTAGAGGAACATAGGGCTTCAGCTGCACGTCTCCATTGAGTTCGGTTCCCTGCTAGAGTTTTCACCTGGCTCCAAGTCTGCCCACATGCTTTCATCTCCTCTTCACATCACGTCCTCCAAGTCACCCTTGCACTGACGACCAACTCGCCGCTTCCCTTTCGGGTTCCACTCGAGCGATGGCTTGTCTAGTGATGTCACTTGATGGTTTCTTCAAAGTATGGCAGCCAATCCATCTCCATTTCTCCCTGTCTATTTGTTGCACAATCGGTTCATGGTTGGTTCTCTCACTGCTTGAGATTCCTGTTGCTGATCTATTCTGGTCATCTGATCTTGAGTGGTATTGAGCGAAGACAGCTATTGATGAAGGTCTGTAGTTTGTTTGAGGTGCACTTTATGACACGCTAAGTCTCTGATCCGTATAGTGAGTAGCATTGACTGACTTCACATTGGAGTTGAAAATCCGGATCTTATTTTTGATGCTGAGGAGTGCTGTTGACCTCCACACAGACTTAAGAGTAATGAAAGCTTGTCTTGCTCTCCCGATCCTTGCTGCTTTGATATCCTCGTCAGTTCCTGGTGCCTGTAGTTGAAACGATGCTTCCCAGGTAAGTGGGTAGGTAAAGGAGGTTGTTTCTTTCAGGTTCCTCCCATTTATGCTGGCTGAATGTTGTCTGTCGTTTTTGTCCAGGAATCGTCATCCCTTTTGTTTTATCTGTGTTTACTCAGAGAGGACACAACTAAATCAAAATGACGATGATAATTTTTTAAAAATACAATAAATCACAGTATAACAACAACAACAACGATTCATAGTTGATAGAGATTAAATAATTGAACGGTTTAAAAAGTAATCAGAATTCCTAAGAATTTTGGCTATTGAATTTGAGCGCATTGCACACATTTAAATCAATCATGAATAATTCGTGAACAACTGATAGTGGGGTGGGGGCATAACACAAAGAATTAAAAAGGAGAATTAATAAATAATCAAGTGTGATTAATCTTCAGGCGGTTTTCATTTTAATTGAAGAAAACAATCAACATCAATCAAGTGTTCTACCCCCATACACAAGCATTATAATATTGTGTTGTGTTGCTCACCAACGGCTACTGATTCGCTGTCTACTTCACAAGACTGCGAAATATTAGGTGAAATATTGGATTGATTGTAAAAAAGGCTAATAAATAAGGAATTCTCCATCATAGTGGATAATGGTGAGGATGGCAATGGTGTCGTCTTCTCGTCTATGGAATCTTTGTGCATAAAAAAGGGAAAAGGTTATGAATAGAGTATTACAGAAAATAACTCAATCAACTGACTCAATCTCATGTGAAATAGAATAATCTTACCAATCTGAATATGTTTCCCAGTTAAACATACAATGCACACATAGATGTTCTATCTCCCATATGCCTAATCATCGCCTTCCTCGACAATGGGCAATGTTAGCTGATATAGGGTCAGTCTGGAAAAGAGCTAGTGGCAGTCAAACCAAAACATGGAACCAGTCATTGAAATCTACAACACTTAGTCTAAGCCACATAGAAAGGTGTAGACTTCCTGGTCGAGGTCCTCGGGACAGTAAAAACCAATGGGCTGGGAACAATTGGTGATATGGCTCAAAATCCTCGTTCTCAATGGCTGGCGAAGATGCATCCACTCCTTGTAACTTATGATTTCAAATGAAATTGTCTTGTTCTTTGATATTACTATTCCTTTGTCTCACACCTCTGTTTACTGTCTATATTATGCATTTCTTCTACTTTCTTCTGTTGCTTTGTGTGCTACATGGAGGGAGTGTGGCGACTTGAACTGCACACATCGGTGCAAAGTTCTATGTCGAAAACAGACACACATGCAGGCAGATACGTGTATGAGCATAATATTAATACCTGATTTGATCAAATTAACCAAAAAAAAGGTTGTTTATCATTTGTATACATCCATTGAATGTATTTTAAATAACATTATGAAGAAACTTAAGTTGTACTCTAGTCTTGCCTAGTTTACTGGCCTGTCTAAAGTCGGCGGAAAGAGGGAGGGTTATAATTAAGCATGGGGCTAGCCACCCTATCACGTAAAATCAATCTGGGCTACGAGAAAAATATAGAAGACAAACTTATTCTTCGCTAGAATTGGTGAAAGCCTTCAAGATTCCAATCAGCCAGTGTGTTTTCTTTACATGGAAAGTAAAAATAAGCATGGGGATTTGGAATGCCCGTTCAGTATACGGAACTGACTGGGAAAGCTGCCCAGGTAGCCAAAGACATGCGAAGATATGGCTTAGAAGTACTGGGTGTCCGCGAAAGCAGATGGAATGGATGTGAACTAGCCAAATTATCGACTGGAGAGTTAGTAATCTACTCCGGCCACCCAGACGACAACGGCGAGCACACTGAGGCAGTGATTGACTATCATGATGTCACCAATAGCAACCAAAGCTATAATGAAATGGAAACTAATCACCAGTAAAATAATGACAGCAGTATTCAACTCCAAAGGTAGGAAAGCTTAAATCATCCAATGCTACGCGCCTACAAACAACTCAGAAGAAGAGAGGAAGGGAGATTTCTAAAGACAACTGCAAAACAATAATGGATAAGATCCCAAATCCTTATAGGCGATATTATGAATGTTAAAATGGGAGTAGACAATACAGGAAAAGAATTCGTCATGGATTGAGAGACTCTCAGCGAGACGAGTCAAACGAAGAACTCTTCAAAGACTTCAGTGCATATAATGATTTGATGATTGGAGACAACCTGATTTTTCAGTACGACCACCGGTCAATGGCATCGGCGAGTATTTGTCTTCATAACCGACAGAATTGACTCTACTGGTCACAAATTCTCACTAGAACCTCAGACAGCCCATTCCGCAGCCAGTCAGCATCAGATTGATTTTCAAGAGTTCGTTTGTAGGATTAGATTTGTTTCACGTTTGACCACGGTGGATGCATACTGACAATAAATCTCAAACTAGATCGAAACAGCTGTCCAATACTCCCTGGTTGGTTTTTAATAGTTCTTTAACCGACATCAATCCAAAGTCAATTTTTTAATAAATCAAATCCTTACAAAGTAACCCTCGAATTAATTTCGGCTAGCATTTTAAGGCAACTCGAGTTATACTCTTGCATATTATACAGAGCACAAAGAAACTACGTACACACACACACACAAACGAAATATTACTTTTAAACAATTACACAAACCAACCTGCTAAACGTTTAATTCGAGGTCCTTTTTTCTCCTGAGGTAAATCAGACAAATCGACACCATAAACTAATTTCGCCATTGTAGACGTCAACATTCGCATAACTTTCTGAAAACAGAATTAGGGTGAAAATGATTGTTACTTTAAAGTAACTGACATAAAAATGGCGATTTGTAAAAAACATTTACAAAAAGTATTCAACGCATTAATTCTTAATCACATATAAATGAGAGAATATGAACTCTTTGGTTGACTTATTGATGTGATACTGTAAAGAGAAATGACAGAGCGCATTTGAATTTACTGTTTACTTTACAGAGGGTCAATGCATCTGCTCCACTGAGAACGATTTTGAGCCGATTAGTTCTCAATGTATCAAGTGCCCCAATCAGGCAGTCTATATCTCCCCACGGGACTCATAGCAACAGTTAAAGACTTCATGGATTGATTCCAAGCTGTGATTTGACCGCCCCCTAATCCTTTAATACCTACCTACTCGTGTGTCAGCTGGTATCGCTCGAAGAAGAATAAGGTATCTCACCATTCGTAATATGTATCCTAGCCAGCTTCACAAACTAATCGACTGATTTTTTCCGTCTTAACCCACACTCTACACCTAACCTCAATATTACTCACCACAGTATATGCCAATATGAGACGAGAGATAGAACGCAAATATCTGTAGTCACAGAGAGTGATCCACTTCAATTATTTTTCTTTCAATGACTATGTCTCAGCCCTAATGGACAGGACGAACTAGCGAACAGTGCCCCTGTCCTTTGATCGATGACCGAATATCACAACTACACTCTCTATCCTTAAATTAGATCTCTATCACCGCCAAAATGAAATCTGACAGTTGTCTGATTATCCTGATAGCAGATTATGAGAAATAATGCATACACTAAACACCATTTAGTAAATTATACTTTACCACATTCAACTTTTCTGCTAGGATTTAATTTGACTATAAGAAAAATACAGCACATAAAATGTTAACTAATACATGAAAATGTGCCCCGTTTGAATTTACTGATATCATAAATATCATATAATGAAATAAATATTACTTGATATTCTAATTTAACATACTTTCCATTCGATTATTAATGATGGCCAATGGGTTAACTTTGAATAAACGCTCAAACATTGATCCCAAGGCTCCGAAGATATTGGTGAGAAAAGAGATGCACGTAATAAGGCACCATTCAATGTCTACACAGAAACAATGTTTTTAAAAAAAAGTGAAGAAGCAAAACAATCGGCATAGAAAGATCAATTTGGAAAAACTAATCAATCAGCAGCTGTGCGACCCAGTCTGTCTTAATAAAACTAACTATTCACTGACAAAATTCAGTGCAAGAGGAATTCAACAGATAAAAAAGGTGGACGCTTTCATTCATGTGCATTCGCGGGCAGAATAAATACTAAGTGTGTTATATGAACTATAGATAGGCGCCCGCATTCTGAGTCTGTTAGAATACCAATGTGTAAGAGCATATTCTGGTAACAGTACTTTCAGCCAATATTTATATTTTGTAAGGCCTCTGTTTGATTGCATGGAGGATTTCATCATGAGCTGACATCAAATAGAGAACAACTGGAAAACCTGGGAGTACTGGACAACTGTTTCATCAGCAATGTTTGGGACTCTTCAGCAGGGTACAGAAGGTCGAAGATGAGGCAGTAACTCATCGAAGAAGACATTGCGAAATGGTTGCGCCATGTCATGAATTGGCAGAAGTTAGAATTCAAGGACCATTAGATCGGGCCCCAGTGGCTCAATGGTCTCTACGAGCTCGCCTTGTAACCAGAAGCTCCTGGGTTCGAACCCCAGTGGGTGCGTACCGATGAAGAGTCCCAAACTAGGACGAAGCAGCTGTCCAGTACTTCCAGGTTTTCGAATGGTTCTCTAACTGATGTCAGCTCATGACTAAATCCTCTATGAAATACCATTTACCTACTTTCAACCTATACTGTTAGGAGATAGTTTCATGGTTCATTATCGATACACACAAATAGCAATCAGCTGAAATTGTAAACCTTCCAATAATTAGTAATTTACAGTTACAGTACAGAAAAAAGGAGCTCCAAAAAATCAATCGCACTGGCGACAATATTTATTCACTAATTATCTGATTCTATGGGCTGATCACTGTATGATAAAAGTTTTACTTGTCTCCTTTCAAAGACAGCCTATTCATCACTAGGGAAAAAGGTAATCAGTGGAAAATCTATAACGTCAATCATTATGCCCAGTGTGTTTTGCTCAAAACGGTTGACACTGAGAAATATAAAAGTGGCTACGGGGTTGTTGGATTCTTCAACGTTGGACTAAATTCTCGAACAATCAGTTTAGTGCACTATGTACTCCAGGGTGATCCAGAAACCAATGAAGTTCACCAGACCTCTCAATACCTTTGCATCAACCTCTGGACAGACATCCCCAAGTCCTACCTCCAACGTCCATCGTCCCAGTCACTTACGCAATAACAATCGATGCCCAAAGACGACACCTCTAAAAACCTGGCGGTACTGTGTGGTGCTTGGTATTCCGTCAAATCTTGTCCGTATAAGTAACACTGATGCCAAGACTGAAGTAATTCTGGTCCTCGACATGTCGCCGCGGATGCAGTTCTCAATCAGCACTTGCCCGCCTAAAATCCATCGATGTTCGGACTCTACGTCCCGAATGGTGCTACACCTGTTTCCCAACCAAACAAACCTGAGGTAGGTGCTTCGCTATTACAAGTAGACGCTAAACTATCCCGTCTCGAACAAGAAGTTGTTCTCAAGCGTCCCAAAACCATTCTCATACTCTGATGGGGAGGTCACAAATGCCCCACACCTTCTGGTAAGCAAGAGACCACTCCTTCAACGTCAGTCAGCCAGGTGCAGAAAATAGACAGCGCGGTTCCCGACCTTCTAAAAAAGGAGGTGATATGCAGGCAGATAAATAACGGACTATCCTTTATTGATAATATGGTGATCAAGGTCAGTCTGGAAATAAACCAATCAGGAGTGATCTAAGTGAAATAACGCCCACTACTTTATTGATCATGATTACAGACCACTTGATAATATCCTTTGTGATGTATTGCGAAAAATATACTTCGGGAGTCACGTCGTTGTGCGCTCTCGTTTATGCTCCTGACTGAGAGAGATCGATTAGCTGTTGTACACGTTGGGATAGACAAGCAATACTCGTGATTACTACGTCTGTAACCAACTCGGTGTCCCTATTACAACTCAACGTTTTGCAAAACATGATAAAAATGATAGTACATAATAAAAAAGTAGAACATAACTGGCACTGAGAAAATAGAAAAATGAGCAAAGATGTTTAACTCCGTTTAACCTTCAAACATACGCTTAAATCAAGCAGTTATACACATATTTAGAGGGAGCCACATAAATAATAATAATAATAATCGATTCACTAATTCTACACACATCTATAGCACGAGATGGGTTAATTGCTTCTTCTCTTACCTGAAAAAGATTCTGAGTGAGTTTATTGTTTAACAACCATTTGTAATTTTGTACATTTGTTGGCGACGTATTAATCATTGTCTTACGCATGATATCCATTAGAATAGATAGTAATTTCGACCTGAAAGTATGACAGCAGACGTGAGTTGGGTGGAAAGAAACAAAGAAAATAAACAGACTGCATATTTTGTTTTTGAAAATATGACAAATCATTGTTTTAATGAGGTAAAAACAAAAACGAAAACAATGAGAATGAAAAGTATTCATCTATGTTTATGATGTCATCAACTATATTTAATTGGTGGTTTGATCACACTAACAGTAGACTTTTGAACTGCACACAGTTCAAAACTCTTCGTCGCCCGCCTACCCTCACAAGTTACAATTCATGGTTCATTGAATCGGGTCCCAGTAGCTTAATGGTCTGCGAGCTCGCTAGCCTTGTAACCAGAAGGTCCTGGGTTCGAACCCTGGCGGTGGGTGCGTACTACTGAAGAGTCCCAAAATATGCTGACGAAACAGCTGTCCAGTACTCCCAGGTTTTCCAATGGTTCTCTAACTAATGTCAGCTCATGATGAAATCCTGTAGCCAATCAGCCAAATCCCTACAAATCAACACTTAAACACCAATGAGCTTAACCACTCTTATCAAACAAATAATTCGACAATCCCGCTCTACATCTGGCTTCCCTGAGCTGTAGATGTAAAGAAACTCTGCATATCCGGTCATTGCTAAAATTACTTGGCCCTGATGGTATCATCGTGACAGGAATTCTGAGGTCCGGCAGTGAGTGTCCGAACCTAGTGGAGGTCATCAATCATTGCATGTAGAGTCATCTTGAGACACCGGCTTCGATGGCTTGGATATGTGCAAAGAATGCCATCATGATATCTCGAGTGGCGGTGTTCCCAATGAGACTCAAACCCAGTACCTATCGTCTTAAATGCTAAAACGTTATCCCCCCCCCACCTAGACTACTAAAAATAAATAATAACTGATGGCCGTTGTACAAGATGTGGATCTTGTCGCCTCAGACATCGTCGAAACATCCGTACAAAGAGCCAATATGTCAACAGAGACAGGCTAAACATTTCGCTCCAATCAATCAATGGGAAAATCAAAGCTCAACTAAAAAATATATATAATCATTACAGTTGTTCCGGTATTCGATTCCCGGTCGATGCACTCTACAACTTCCCCCAGCCCAGGAAAGAGGGAAGGTTGGGGGGGGCATGAGACTAGCGGTCCAACCCTTTTAGAAAAAGCATCACTGTCTACTGGAACTTCACAGTAGCACATATTGTAGGCGATTATTGCATAATAATAATAATGACCAATGGTTAGGCTATACTGTTTCACAATAAAATACACGCCATAGAAAAACAACAAATCGTGCAACTCGTCAGTGTCCGGAATTTCTACCATTATCTAACAGGTAAATTCAGTGGGAAGGGCAGAATTTCCCTAAACGTTTGACCATAGCCTGATAAAATAAAAACAAATTAATTTTTGACTGACAAACAGAATATATGCAGTGAACTACAGTGATACAACTAATCATCAGAGAGACAGATAGAAATATAATACACACACACACACACATACAAATCATGCAAAAAATTTGCCTAAAGCCAATTATTCTAGGTTTAAAAAAGAAAACATTTTACTCTAGAACAAGAAGGAGGAACTAGAAACAATGCGCAGTTATTTAAACAGGAAATCAGACATAATCCACACAAAAAAAATAATAACTACAGAAGGTAGAGGTGAAAGACAGTAGATAAATTCCATATATATCACATAAGGCCTTAGGATGAAGATAAGGCGATTTTTATAGATGGCTAATATGTTTTGTCTTATCACCACCATCACAACCCCCTGAGGCCTTGTGGTTTCATTCTACCTTGAGCAATATTGAGGTTAGGAAAGGAGGGAGTGCTAGGGAAGTGGCAGGGAAATCAATCGATGAAGTTGTGAAGCAGCTGCACCGCCTAGTCATCACCTTTCTCAACAATGGGCAATGTTAGCCACTGTCATAGGATGGATCAGGTTGGAAAAGAGCTAGCACATGGTGGTCAAACGAAAACATGACTTCATCAGTCAATGAAATCCACAACAGTTCGTTTAAAGCAACCAACCACGTAGGGAGGTGTAGGCTTCCTGGATGCGGTCCTTGGGAGGTTAGAGACAATTGGTGATATGGCTGGCTGAAAATCGTTGCCAATGGGAGCGGGTGGTTTATAATATCCAACAAAATTCTACTCTTCTTAATATTACTATTCTTTTTTTGCCTCACTCACACATCTGTTTACTATCTCTCTTTTGTTGAGTCTGTCTTTCCTCTCTCTTCTCTTACTTTGTGTGCTATATGGAATTTTTTTCCTTCACGTTCCCAGTGGAACATAAGGCTTCAAGCTAGTGGCTTGAAGTTTCTGTAGCAGTGTTTAATTTTTACAGGATGGGGTTGCTAGCCCCATGCCAAACCTTTCCTCTTTATAAGCATTATTTCTGGCTTAGCGAGGTAAAGGAGTGCATCTGTGGCCGGAGATCGAACCTCGGACCATGTGCATGGTCGACGAGCGTCCTAACTGCTGTCCTACCAACGCAGGCTACATGGACATGGAGTGTGGCAACTCGAACTGCTGCACATCTGTCCAAAGTAGTTCTACGCTGAAACCAGTCAGCCAGTCCTCCTACCCTTAATTATCTAAGCCAACAGATCACACATTTAGGTGGATTGGAGCCACATGCATGTATTGCGTGTGTGTGTGCTCATATGTGACACATGCCTTCCTTACTCAACTCAATTAAAATAATGACGGTGCGAAACTCTCCATCAAGTGATTAGTCAGCAGTATGACCCATTTTACAAATGTTTTAAATTTTATGAATTTTTTTTTATCACATACTATTTTTCATCCCTTCAGATAACTATTTATTTACCCTGGAAACAAAAAGAAGCAAAAAAAAACAAAAACATAGATAGGAGAGAGGATAAATGATTACCATGTCTCTGCTGTCAATTCATTACTATTACTAGCGTATTGAAAAATTTGTAACACTAAACGGCATAATTCAATTTGATGCTTTGTATAGTCATTTGGACTACTACTGGCAGTTGATTTATTCACACTATTGGAGTCCAAACTTGTAGCATAAAATACACTGGCCATATTTTCTAGCATAATCTATTGGAATGTTGTGGAAAACACACAGACAGACAATGAAACAAAAAATATGTATATACAAAATACCATTAGAGTATAAACTGACATATCAGTTAAAACAATGAACACTATTCAATGGTAACAATAATAATTATAATAATCATATTATGTGAATACTTGACTTCGAAAATTCTGTGTCTAAATGGGTTAAAATGTTGACATGAATGACCAGCTTTAAGAAATGATTATGAGGTATATAACTCTTACAAAAGACTTTTCGTTGAGGTTATTTTATTTTATTATTGCTCCCTTGGGTTCCTAGTGGAACATAGGGCTTCGACTCCACGTCTCCACTTGCCACTTCTGTCTTCTGCTGTACTTCTCACCTGCATTCATGCTAGTCCATAGTCTCTCAACTCCTCCTCACACGATCTCCTCCATGTCACCCTTGCACTGACGTCCCACTCGCCGCTTGCCTTTCAGGTTCCACTCGAGGGCTTGACGCGCGATGTCGCCCAGCGGTCTCCTTAGCAAGTGTCCGATCCATCTCCACTTTCTGCTGCATATCTGTTGGGCGATTGGTTCTTGTTTTGTTTGTTCCCATAGTTCCTTGTTAGTGATTCCTTCCGGCCATCTGATCTTCAGTACAGAGCGAAGACAGTTGTTAATAAAGGTCTGCAACCTTTTCAATGGTAATTACTGTTATTATCCCCTTAGGTTCTGAACGTAACGTTGGAGTTTTAACAGCACATCTCCAGTTCATCTTGTTTTCTGGCATTGCCTTTGGCTGGCTCCACGATTGCTTATAGAAGTGCTCTCATCTCCTCCTCACATGACTTCCTTTAAGTCGCCCTCGAACACATACACACACAATCAAATCGCTGTTTCCTATTCGAATTCCAATCGAGCGACATCACTCAACTGTCTCTTCAGTGTGTATCTGATTTATCTCCTCTTTCTTCAGTATACTTATAGAACAATAGGTTCTTGATGGATTCGATGCCAGAGTTCCTTGTTGCCAATCCTTTCTGGCCGATCGGCAGGTCGACCAGCCAGCCACCTTATTCTTTAGTATGAAGCCAGAGACGTCAGCTAAGGATAAAAGTCAGACGCCTGTTTTAAATGCTTTCGGTGACACACCTGTCAAACCTCTGAACCATTTAGAGGCACTGACTAACTTGATATTACCGAGTTCATGTAGTGATTATTTGATATAACTAGAAATGCTGTCTGTCTGTTTTCGACATAGAACTTTGCACAAATGTGCGGAAGTTCAAGTCGCCACACTCCGTGTAGCACGCGAAGCAAGAGAAGAAAGTACAAGAAAAGCATAACAGAAACAGTGAGCAGAGGTGTGAGACAACGGAGTAATAAAGAAAAACAAGTTTCATTGGAGATTATAAGTCACAAGGAGTGGATGCATCTACGCCACTGAGAACGATTTTGAGCCATGTCACCAATTGTTTCCAACCATTGGAGAGAGTTTAGGCATTTCCGTGGATAAAACTCTGATGGTGATCCAGTGATTTAAGCAGAACGAATAGACGACTTCGAGAACTGTGTATTTTTGGGGAAAGAGGAATACAGGTGGATGATGTAAATAAACCACATCATTTTAAAGACTGAAACTGGGCATATCAATTCATAAGTAATTTTATAATAAATGAAATAAAAGAACTACTCTCCTAATCAATGCTACGCCACACTGGATGGGTAAGCCTGTCTTACACTTTCAGGTTAGAAGGAAAGTCTGTTAACCATTCAGCCTCTGAGACCGAATTCGATGAACTGTCAATTCCAACTTCTGCGACTACTCCACCATACTTATAATACCACCACCACCACCAGCCAATGTCATCAACGAGTATGTGTCCTCACCACCCCATCCTAGTGGATCCCACTCGTGAGGAATCCCCACTAGAACCAATGGTAACTTCATCACCCAATAGTCAGCCATTATAGGGGAACTAGATTAATTTTCAAGTGTTGCTTTCCAAAGATTCCGACTAATTCCAGAACTGATCACGGATTGACTTCAGTTATACAGACATTAGAAACTAGCATGGAATACTGAACAACTCTGTCGTCTTTGTGACTCTTCCATCTGAAGTCGTGACCAATAAGGTCCGTCCACCAGGAGAAACAGATAAACTTTTATAAACAATGTACACTAGATTACTGAAGACTACTGTGCAGGAAAGGGGTTCGAACATCGGCTCCAAATACCGAAGGTTTTCGAGACCATGTCACACTATCTCACACACAGCCCCAACGGGTTGATCTCTGACGAAATCACAGCACGGATACAGAGGGCTAATTTCACATATGCCAGTTTACGCCGTCTCTGGCGCAGACGTGATATCCGCTGGTTATCGAGCAAAGGGCGGGTGTACTGCTCATCAGTCCACTCCGTCCTCCTTTATGGCTGTGAGCGAGACCTGGCCATTGAGAGTGGAAGACATGAAAAGGCTAGCTAGCTGTCTTTGATTTGATCATAGATGCTTGAGTTCTATCCCCCCCATGTGAAGTGGCACAATAAAGTGGGCAATCTGGAGGTTAGGCCTCTGTCGAGTTCTAGATAAGGAGGGGGAATCAATCGACGAGGCTGTGAAGTTACATCGACTGAGATGGTTAGGACATGTGTTACGCATGCCTAGTCATCGCCTTCCTCGACAACGGGCAATGTTAGCTGAAATACGGTCAGGCTGGGAAAAAGCTAGTGGCGGTTAAACCAAAACATGGCTTTACCAGTCAATGAAATCCACAACAGTTAGTTTAAGGCGACCAACCATGTAGGAAGGTGTAGGCTTCCTGGATGGGGTCCTTAGGATAGTAAAAACCAATGAAGGTCGGAGACAATCGGTGATATGGCTCAAAATCGTTCTAAATGGCGCAGATGCATCCACTCCTTGTAACATGATTTCAAATTAAACTATATCGTTCTTTGTTATTACTATTCCTTTGTCTCACACCTCTGTTTACTGTCTCTATCTAATATGTATTTCTTCTACTTTCTTCTCTTGCTTAGTGTGCTACATGGAAGGAGTGTGTCGACTTGAACTGCCGCACATCTGTGCAAAGTTCTATGTCGAAAACAGACATACACATACACATATTAAGTGTGACTCATTACCAACTATATAATAAAAGTGCAAAATAGTTGTCGTGATCAGATCTTCAACTGTTATCATCACAAGTGAACAAGTGATCTGTTATTTTCTAAAGTTTTGATCAATATAATCCTTACCTGCACACACACACACACACATACATACATACATACACAGAGAGAGGTCAACATTCTATCTTTAAGAGTAGAGAAAATAATGAACAATTAAAATGTAAAAATACAGAAAAGATGCTATCTAAGCAACCCACAGTGATAAAATCATTTTAACTAAAATTAGAAATGAGAATATTGTGTGCAAAAATTGCATCTTTAATAAAGGTCGCTAGTATATATATATATATATATATATATATATATATATATATATATATATATGCACAGAATGTAATTAGCTAAGTAAATAAATATACAAAATCAATAAAAATTATTGATTTAATTAATCCTGCAGGTAGATCTGGTTTTTTTTACTAAGAAAGCTGTAAGAATGCATGAATGAACTGTTAATATAATAATAGTAGCAATAATAAATAATAAGGGCTATTGACATTATTGACTATTATTATAACTACCAATCAACTAACCTGAATTGTATTCTGTAGGCAACCTCTCAACTCTTCTGCATCATCTTCTTCAGACTTTGTTTTCGTCAGTGGGGGATGATTATGAACAGTGACGTGTTCAGGAGTTGATTGTTTAACTTTGGAATGTTCAATTGGCTTAGTATCATTCAGCTGACTATTGATTCCCTGTGTCCCAGCTTCTTCTAGTGTTGACGATGGACGATCATCTGACTTCTGTACCTGATCAAAAATAAATAAATAAATAAAAATTACTGATTAGTAAAACAAAGTTGGATAATGATAATTAGTGTTAAAAAAGTAATGATGAGTACATTCAAAAGTGACGACTACATATTGTCATCGGCAAATAACACAGTTCCCCACATGCCAAGTGATCCCACAACCGAAAACTCAGAGAAACGTTTGAAGTAAAGACAGGAGTAGGACAAGTCTGACTACTATTACCAGAGATATTTCTCACTGTGGTGGGACGGATCGTGCAACACACTATGGAGAGCGAGAAGATGAGAATACTTTGATGTAGTTGTGTTCTCTAAGGCGGATAGTTTACTATACTAGACAACATCTTTGGCACATACTTCAATTTGAAATGAGCTTCCAGATGTCTCCACGAGTTTATAAGTTTTCTCTTTTGTGGCGACCTTGAAGGTGAAAGCTTAGCAAATAAACTATCCAGCTCAAAGAACACAACTACATTAAAATCTGATGGTGTGAAATATTCCCATATTATGAAAAAAAAAGTCAATCTGAACGAAGAATATTCTTTTCAATAATTTCTCTTCAGGTTCTTACAATCATAAAATATAATATTTGTTGTCGTTACAATAAAGATAGCCAGGTATGCGGCGGATACATTTTTAACGTAGAATAACAGATTAGTTATGGGGCGCACGATTAGGAAGGTTCGTCTACGGGTTCGAGAACACTTACCAGCTTGGTTCAGCAGGGGGAAATTAAGTGCATAGAAAGCTCGATCCTGTCACACCTGGTCGATACTGGACATCGCACCGATGTCAACACAGCTTTCAGGGGTTATATACCGAATTCCAAAGTCGTTATCACGTACAGTTCGCTTACGTCTCCTACACATAGCTGGAGCTGTTACAATAAGATCGACTAAACCGAAACTTTGTATTCAAAAAGAACACGTCCAGACGCTTTTCCTACCGTGGCTAACCTTGGATTGAAGATTTTTCTTCTCACCAAGAGTGCACCTTCCCCTTAACCCTCTTGGTATTTTTTCTTCCTTTTTACTTTGCTTATTATTATAAATTATTATTACATTTATTATTATTATTCGTCATAATTTATGCCCTTCATGCAAACATTCCCTCAATACTATCGAATTTTCATTTATACGGACTTATTATTAGTGATATTATCTGTTTTCTCAATATATGCCTCCAACTGGTTCATTTAATATATTCGTTATCTCACTATGAACCTCTCATTCCAGTCTTAATATCTCCTGTTTAACTCAGACCACTTTGTACTAGCCACTCACCTGACATCTTTTATAACCTTGAACTGATTTGTCAATTTTCCTACCCCACACTCTACAATTCTATTATGATTCATCACCACAACTGTCTCCCATTTTACAACATTTTGTAATTGATTTCAGCCCAGAACACGTTTCTCACACAAATACGACGATTTGTTTTGACACCACATGACTACTAATCTGTTATTCTACGTTAAAAATGTATCCGCCGCATATCTGGCTATCTTTATTGTAACGACCACAAATATTATATTTTATAATTGTAAGAACCTGAAAAGGAGAAATTATTGAAAAGAATACATTAAAATCATCCACCTGAGCAACAAATCCTCTCTATTATATCTATATGAAACTACGTTGGACAGAAAAGAAAATCCTGGGAAATCTGGACCTCGCGGATGATTTATGTCTAATTTCATATAAACAAGAGGAATTACAGGCGAAAACCAACAAGTGGACAGAAGAAGCAGCGAACATAGAGAAGACGGAGATGATGAAGATAACCAACGAACAACAACAACAACAAGCACCAATCACTATGAATGAGAGAAATTCAACAGCGGCTACTTCCTTCACTTATCTAAGGAAGCATTGTGTCAACTAAAGACACCACTAATAAGGATTTCAAAATCAGAATCGGAAAGGCAAGAGAAGCTTTCGTGAATCTGAAGTCATTTCGAAGACCTTATGCGCTCAGCATACAGAACAAATTTCGAATTTTCAACACTAATGTTAATTCAGTTCTTCTATGTGGGTCAGAAACTTGTTGCGTCAAGAACAGGCTACCGCAGACTTGTATTAACGCAGTTGTCTTCGATAGCTGCATGCTGAAGATCAGATTTGCAGAAAGGATTAAGAACATGGAACGTTTGGAACAAACCAACTAAGAACCTATTGCTGCACAAACGCGATGAAGAAAATCGAGATGGATCGGATATACACACTGGTAGGACTGTCAAGTGAAGTCGCACGCCACACTCTCGAGTAGTGAAATGCGAGTGTGAAACGACGAGTCAGGCGTCCAATGTAACATGGTGGAGACTGTGTATGGAGGAGGTGAAAGCTTATGGGGAGTCGTGGAGTCAACTGACGAGGACTGTAAGGAAATGAACAGAATGGCGACAGGCTGTTGAAGCCCCAAGTTCCAATCGGAATCCAATAAAACAAATAATAAGTTGAACAACACTCACACCAATCAGTAGTGCTTACTAGTCAGATCGAATAACGATTCAACCATGGAAAGGTAAACGCCGAAACTACTGGACAATATTACCAGACATACAACATTCCGTGACAATATAATAAGCTAACAGTACACTCTTTAATAAGAAACTAAGACAAATCTAAGTACAATACCATATTGCTTTCTGGTATTTATTATGAACTATCAGTTAGAAGTAACTACTTAGTTTACAAATTATGTTGCAGAAGTTTAATTTTTCACATATGGTTTTGAATTACTCTACGCATACGCCAAAAAATCACAAAAAGTGTAAGCAAACCTCACACTTGTCTCAAAAAAAAATATAATTCTGAGTTCTCATAAAAAAGGCGTATTGCTGTGTGTGTCGGTGTTTCAAAGGTAGAATTCCTGTCAACCACGCAAGTAGTCTGGGTTCGATTCCGAGCCAACGTACCTCTAATCCTCACCTAGCCCAGAAAAGCGGTACAGTTGGACGCGAGGCTGGCAACTCTGCCGCTTAAAAAACAATACAACCTGACACTGATTTGATTATAGCTTGATTCCACACAGTATTTTTGGTACAAGTATGGAGTTTTCAGCAAGTGATATCGGTAGCATAAATTTCCCAGGCCGACCATTGATATCAGGTGTGTGTCGGCAGGGGATCGAACCCCGGAACATGTGCATGGTAGGCGAGAGTCCTAACCACCGTGCCACCGACGCATGTATATTTATATTCTATTTTTTCCTTCACATTCCCCAGTGGAACACAGGGCTTCAAGCTAGTGGCTTGAAGTTTCTGTAGCAGTGTTTATTTTACAGGATGGGGGTTGCTAGCCTCATCCCCAACCTTTCCTCTTTACCAGCATTATTTCTGGCTTAGCGAGGTAAAGGAATGTGTCGGCCAGGAATCGAACTCCGGACAATATGCTGGTCGGCGAGCGTCGCATGTGTACATATATATTCATATATATATATATATATATATATATATATACGATTGTACAGCTAAAATGAATTCGCCACCGGAAAGAGACTCCTCGCTGAACTACGTGTTTTGTTTTGCATTAATGTCTGGATGGGGATTATCCATGAAAAATGATAACAAACGAGTCGTTCACGTCAGAATATGACAGAATGACTGAAAACTCCTTTTTTCTTTAATACAAGTAGCAGTAGTAGTATATGAGTCAGTTAGTGAAAAATGAAATTAAACTAACTAGATTATAAACTCACCTCATTCCAATTTCTCACTGAATCATCCAAAGGTTGCATAAATATAGGACGATTGTATTTGTTCTACACATTTCAAATAAAAAATAAAGTATAACAACAATCAGTGAATCCTAACGGAGTGAAATTAAGTTCAGAGTAAGCGAAATTTTCTTAAACTGTCAGATAAATTGTGATTGTCACACACACAGTGAATTTCAGCTTGATCAGAAAGTACGTAAGAAAGATGTGTCACAGTAATACCGACTAAAACACTACAGGCCAACAAGTCTTCGTGGTTGGCAACTTTTCTCGATAACTTACCGAGAAAATGAGACTGTCCATCAAAAAAATCTACACGATAGATTAACTTTCACCATGTCGAGAACACAACTGCGGCCTGCTTAAATCTTGGGCTACCAAAATTTCCATCCTACATATTGCATCTATTTCCTCGGATTTATTTTGTTTTAATCATTCAATTATGTATCCAAGTCGCATTACTTACTCTCGCGATTATTTAAAATGTCTTCAACCTGTTGATTTACGAGTATATAATAACGTTAAGAAAAAGCATCATGGAGGTTGGCAGAGATCATTAAAGTGTACTCCAATGCATCAGATGACTGTTCCTGTGATTATGAGCACAAATTGCAGGTCATTATCGAATAAGATTAACTACTTGCATTCTCTATTATACTCAAATGTATATTGTAATACTGGTGTAATCACTCTTCAAGAGACCTGGCTCCATGATTCATATGACGACAATTTAGTCTCCTTAAGTGGGTTCACAATCTACAGACAAGACCGATGCAGCTCGAAGAAGAAGAGAGGTGGTGGTGTTGCCACTTTTATTAATTCTCACTGGTCTACTGCCAACAACGTCTGCTTCAAATTCTCAAATGACAATATTGACTGTATAACTGTAAAATGTCGACCTAAACACTTACCTAAGTACAACTCCATTTTTGTCACAAATATCTATATCACACCTTGTTGCAGCCCCTCAGAACTATCTATCTTCGCTGATGAATTCACTATTTTTGCTGCTGCTTCGTTTGGTAACTCCTTATCTATAGTGACCGGCGACTTCAACTCCAGCGACTGCAGTTTTATTACATTGCTGGGCCATTCAAATGTTGTTAATTTCCCAACTCGACAAAATACTTCACTTGATTTAGTATTTGTAAATGACTCTGGAATATACGAAGCTCGTAAAAGAGCCCCACTCTTCAATTCTGATCATTGTATTGTACGAGTCTTACCCAAAATTTACGGAAAGTTACACAGTAAAGCCCTCTCAAACTTGTCTAAGAAAGTTGTTCACAGATGCTACTCAAATGAGAACGTACATCATCTTAGAAACATGCTCAGTGACACAAGATGGGATTTGTTTAATGTTGATTCACTTAATGACAATATCTCTAATATTACATCCTATCTGAAATTCTGTTTTGAAATCTGTTGTCCAAAAGAAACACTATTCGTCAAATTTGACCGTTTCTCCTCGCCTCAACTTAAAAAGCTTCGTAGAGAGAAGGAAAAACTATATAAAATCAAAGATAAAATTGGTGTAAAAAGAACTAACTTCTTAATTAAGTCTGAAATGCAGAGGTTGAATGTAATATATAACCAGAAATTCATGTCCTGCAAAAATCCTTCTAATATGTGGAAACTATTTAAGGAAATCACTGGTGGTAAGCAGATAAACAATATTCCATATTCTTTTGATGTATGTACTCTTAACAAATCTTTTATTTACTCTCCCTCAAATGCCATGCTTCCCAGCATCACTTGTGTTAATAATAGCCCCTTTCCAGGTTTTAACACAAATGATGTTCAAAAGTGCCTCAAGTCTCTAAACCCTTCCCAGAGCTTAGGTCCCGATTATGTACCTAGTATTATTTTTAAAAAATGTTCTGATATTCTGTGTCACCCTCTTACTGATCTATTTAACAAATCTTTTTCCGATAATATTGTGCCTGCCGTTTGGAAGGACATTAAAGTTGTACCCATACCTAAATCTTCTACTGGAGCATGTGTCAAATTTAGACCCATTGCTATTACGTCTCCTTTTTTGAAAACTATGGAGAAATTGCTTTTACTTAGTCTTGAACCTTCGCTTAAATCCTTTAATGACCCTAAACAATTTGCATATAAGCACAGTAGAAGCACTTTAGATGCAGCTGCCGTCTTATATCATAACATTGCTTCCAGTCTAGACAAGGGGGCTAAATTTGTTCGTTGCGCCTTCCTAGACTATACATCTGCATTCGACTCGGTCCCTAGGGACATCTTATTAAATAAACTTGCAGCTAGTCAAACAGAATGTTGGGCTGTTAACTGGTTACATTCCTATTTCTCAGATAGAAAGCAGTACACCGTATATAAAGGGAAGTCCTCCACTTCATTGCCTACTGAAGCTGGTGTCCCTCAAGGTGCTGTTCTTTCTCCTTTTCTTTTTTCTTTCTTCTTGCACGACTTGCCTCACTCTGATGAAATAAACTTTGTGAAATATGCTGATGATTTAACGGTTTCAATGGCTGTTAACTCCCAGCTAGACTGTACTAAAATAAATAGCTTTCTATCGGAAGTCAGCAAATGGTCTGAGTCTAACGGTCTTAAACTGAATCCTTCTAAGTGTCAAACTGTTGATTTCAGCTTAAGATGTAAACGACAGTTAAAAGAAGTCATCGATTCTCATGACACTTGTAAAATTGACGACAATGATATTGGAATCAAATCAGAAATTAAGTATCTTGGACTCATTCTCTCTTCTGATCTCTCCTGGTCTTCCCATGTCTTAGCAATCTCCAGTAAAATATTCCGCTTGACATTTTACATTAAGAAGTTAAGACACTCGGGTATAACTCAACCCCTCATCCTACAGTTCGTAAACTCTTGCATCCTACCTATTCTTCTTTATTGCTCACCCTTATTCTTTCCTGGTTTGCTTAAAAAAGACTATGTCACAATTCGTAGAATACTGAAGACTGTCAGTAGAGTGAGTGGTGTCCCAGTGGACCACATAGTTAACGTCGTTGTCGATAGGCATTTGACTTCGTGCAATAAATTTGCTAAAGGGATTTTGTCTGACTTGGAGCATCCGCTTTACCCTCAGCTTTCACCTTGCATCTCCTCAGGTAGAACAAGGAGTAACTTCAGAAAACTGTATGCTCGCACGTCTAAGTATAAGAATTCTATGATACCATACTTGGCACGTATTTTATGTGATGAAAATAGTGTCAGGCAAGAATTAACTAACCTTCTTTCATCTAGTAAATAAACAATTTCCTCCATCCATCCTTACATACCTTCAAGTTTTACTTTTATTACTTCTATTATATTTATGGTCCTGTTAATTCTCTGTTTTACTCTCATAATTGCAAACACCAACTTATCTCCATGACGGCTGTAATCTATGTTTTTTCCTTCCCCATATCATGTAGAAAGAACATTATATTCAATATTTTTAAACATGTTAGGATTTCTATACCACATTGCCAATACTGTGTGACACAAGCCAACGGCAATTTTCACTTGTATTATTATTATTATTACCCTAGCTGTTATCATTATTATTGCTATTTCCATTTTATATGCTGCATGTTTTTGACACTACCTCTATTGTAAATGTGGAAAATTTTCTGTGTGATTAATTTTATTTATAATTTGAGGAAATTAGATGCAATATTGTGATCAATGCTGAAAATTCCAATCTGTATCACAAGTACTGTTTTTGGAATAAAGTAAATCATTATTATTATTATTATTATTACATGGAAAGTATTCACACTAGCATAAACGTTTACTTAACTGTCATCAGAAATATTTATTATTTGTAGGTAGCTCAGGAAACAACACAGATAACTTCTTGATATGAAAAAAAGAAACGATTAGATTGAAAACCTTCCTCCTAGAATATCCACAGAACTTGAAACACAGTAAATTATTATGATTATTATTTAAAACACAGACTCGGTATATTATGGACACCAAGAGAAAGGGAAGAAAGAAGAAAGGATTCTTAATGAAGCAGGAATTAAAGTGGCATTTAAACCTACAAATTCACTCAAGTAGGACAAACTATGTAGGTTAAAGGATCCTGCCAGTTGACCCAATCAGAAAAAGTAATATAATTTACAAAATAGTTTGCAATGGCTGTGAGTGAGGTCAACTACATACGTCAGACTAGTACATCAGGGGTAGTCAGACTGTCGGAACATAAGAATTTACCTAAGGTAAGAATGGTCGATCCTGCGAAGATAATTAATTTAAAAAAGAGCTCAGCAATTGCACTGCATGCATTAAAACACAACCACACAATAAATTGGTGGGAGAGGGTTAAAATTCGAAACAGTAATCTAGGTAGGTGGAGAGCGAGAGAGGTTGATTACTGAATCCTTGTTGAACAAGTCTACACCCAACACATGCGATATAAATGACTCATCGCTGATACCGGAAATATGGAAAATACTACTACCAATCAAATCAAGCGATGGAAAATAATGAAATTATATAAACGAAGTTAGAAAGTTGTGTGAGTACCTTGATATGATTATGATGAGCAATAAATTGTGCTCGAAACGTTGTCATCAGTAAATATTACCCACAATGGAGGAAAGAAGGAAATTCCAGCAAGTTCATTAATTACAATTCTTGATTGTATGTGACAACGTCTCAACCTATAGATTCGAATTATCTCTTGAACCTCATTCAGAGAGTTTTGACGTACCAACGGATGCTAATCTAATAAAAATATACTACATTCAAAGGCACTGAGTGATAGGTTGAACATCTACCCGTTTTTTCCGTCCGGTCACAGGGCTAGAAAACGGTAAGAGGTATGGGAGCCTCTGGGACGACATTCGTAGCAGATGTCCAAGACACTGAAACTAGGGTTTCAAGATGATCACACACTATGAAAGCTCACCTTCACACTCTGCCGAACCTCAGAGGCAAGGAATTCTCCGGAAACAGGGATAATCGCCTCACATTCTCAGCTCGGAGAGGTCAGGTCTTACAGGCGTACAGCAAGGCTGCGCACACCAAAATATTGTAAACTCGACCTTTGATAGCCAAGCTAACATAGCCACGATACTAGAGGTAGTCCGAATCGGCATATATCACCTTAGCTTTGATCATATGATTAGAGATTTCATCCATCACACCTCCATTAACATTCACACAAATACCAGGATACATGAGGTTATCGAGAACTAAAAGCGGTTCACCTGCAAACTGAGTACAGGTATAGGCTCCTACCAATCTCGGAACAATACTTTGCACCTACACGGCACAAAGCATATACCATACTTACAGACAGAAATAGAGACCTAGTGAAAATATGCGTGCATGAATAGTGTTTAATCATAACGAGAATGTACACACACACAAAAACACAAAAAAAGAATTTAGAATCACATACCTCTAACCAAGAACCGTAAACTGTAGTCACATAGTAAAGAGCTTTATGACATTCCAGAGGAAGCAGAAGAGCTTGATGTAATATATCTTGTATTAAATTAATATTCTGTCGACATCCATATAGAACTTGATGCACCATAGAAACCTGGAAAACAAATATTCATATTTAAACAACGTATATACAACAAGAAGAAAAAATCCGTCTGCACATTCTAATTGCATTTGTATGACAATATATTCAAAGGTGGACTTTTATAATAAATTTCCAGAGATAGACATGCCAACGCACAATGTAAAACTATCACACTTCACAACTATGCAGATAAATATTTTAACATTATCTCACACATAAGGACAATGGAAGGACGTGCAGCAGCTAGCTCAGTCCTCCTTTATGGCTGTGAGATATGACCATTGAAAGTGGAAGAAATGAAAAGACTGCCTTCGGCCACAGATGTTCGCGTCCTATTCCCTGTGTTAGGCGGTACAATAGGGCGAGGTTGAGGTAAGGAGGGCAAGTCAATCGATCAGTTTGTGAAGGTAAACCGATGGTAATAGCTGGGACACATATTCCGCATGCCAAGCCATCGCTTTCGTCAACAGGCAATGTTAGCCAATATAGGATACGGTTTAAAAAAAGAGTCAGTGGTGGTCAAATCAACACCTGACATCAATCCATGAAGTTTTTAACGGTTAGTTTGAGCCTGCAACTTAAGGAGGTGTAAACTGCCTAGTTGGGATCCTCAAGATGCTAAGAACAAATGACTAGGGGCTATTAGTGCTCTGGTTCGAAACCGTCCTCAAACGCTCAGATGCATTCACTCTCTTTCACCGAAATGTCCACTAATCTGTCATGTTTTTCCATGTTACTATTCTTATTCTCTCACATCTCTACTCACTATAGTTCCATTGAATCTCTTTTTTTTAACCTCTTTTGTATGTTTCATAGATTGTGGCAACTAGAACTGCTGCAGTGCTAAGTTTTATTTTAAAACTCATTCAGTCAACCAGTGATTATTTCACGCTCGGTGACTTACGAAAAAGTACACTTAAGATTCCCACATAACCGTGCATAACTGAAATACCTTTTCTCACAGAATTACATCATCTATATCCGGACAGGAAATCAATCCGTGAAAATAAGAAAGTAAGGAGAGTAGCCCCTAACATCTTATATGGTAATTTCTAGTCGACCTGATCTCGTCCCAAATGTCGCAGACAGACTAATCCACTTTCTTACATACCAAAATAATCAATGATCTAGACTGATCTGATTCCTATACGTTAACGGACATTTCGGTTACTTAGGCAAATACTTGGTAACCAAATCCTTAAAGAATTTGTGAAGCCAGTCACATATCCATGATGCTTTTCGTCGTCTCAGATTTAAAATGGAACATACAGTAGACCATCGAAAAGTGGCTCTTCTTTAAATTGCAATGACTACAGTCACACTCATTCATTCGTTTTGAGAAGCTGTCAAGGACACTTTCCTAAGAGACAGATGATGCGAGTAAAGGCTTCGTGTTCTTTTTGAAGTGTGTGGGCGACTGTTATCTCCCGGCTGCCAAAACCGTGGAAGTTGATTGATTCTTCAGGTACCTGAAAAAGAAAGAGGATTTAGTGTTGCGTGACCGCAGAAGCCTGTCACACACGGCCTGTATGAACTGGTTTCTGGGATTGGTTCCGTATTAGTAAACTTACCGCCGGTTACGGACCTCCCTAGGGTAAGTCAGGATGGACAATTTTTGGGGTCAACCTTTTCTAACCCTTCCTCTCCGGAGTTTAGAGACAGCATAGCTGGCATGCTGGTCAACTGACGGAAACACCTCACTGCTGTTACACCCCTGTTCCCCAGCAGTATGACTTCGCCCTCAGACCCCCAGCATATTGTAAGAAAGATTCTTACACAATGCTGGTAACTGCTTTTAGTCTAATCGCTATCCTAACAACCTTCCTGGCATGGTAGGACCTGCAAGAACATTGGTTCCAGCCAGTGCAGTTTGTTGGGTCATCGCGATGTGCAAGCACGACCAACGTGTCAAGGTAGCAGCTATCGGTCCAGTCCTAAGAGATAATCCGATTGACCATCTCTTTCTGCCGAACAATATCGTAAACCAGCATAATTGTCAACTACTTAGAATCGTTAGTACTTTCACAAAAAGTATAAGTTTCGTCTTGTCAAAACACAAATTTGTTGCTTCCATACGCAAGTTAAGAACCGCAAAGTTTTACAACACATATGGTTCATGCAGACACACATGTGTTGAAACTGATGCAAAACTGCAATTTACGACGATACTATAAAATATACACAACATTCCTTCAGTCCCTACAAATGAGTGTGTTTTATAGCAATACATTTCATGCGTGCTCATCTTTGGTTTCACGCGAGCGAATGTCAAGTGTATCTTACTTTTGAGTTTGATGCTGACTAAGCAGTACTGACGATATGAACAAACATTACCAAAGAAATCCTGGATATAATTACTGATATAGATGTACTATCACCACTTGATTACTCAGACGCAGCCCACTTTTTAACCTAATTTAGTCCTTCGACATAAATAATGAAGTTTTCAGTCAGTATTTAGCACTCAACTACCATATAGCCTTGATATGATTATGAGCAATAATTTGTGCTTGAAACGTTTTTTCCTTCACGTTCCCAGTGGAACATAGGGCTTCAAGCTAGTGGTTTGAAGTTTCTCTAGCAGTGTTTAATTTTTACAGGATGGGGTTGCTAGTCTCATGCCAAACCTTTCCTCCTTATAAACACTATTTCTGACTTAGCGAGGTAAAGGAGTGAGTCTGTGGCCGGGGATCGAACCCCGGACCATGTGCATGGTCAGCGAGCGTCCTAACCGCTATGCCACCAACGCACGTGCTCGAAACGTGGTCATCAGTAAACATTACTGTACAACACTGAGTGATTTTATTAAAATAAAAATTTTATCCATAATGGAGTTAAACTCTAGCACAGTGCCCAAGTTTTATACTTATGTCAAAATGAAATGAAACAGATCATATGTGATGAGTATAGGATACCACCTGGAGTTATTATTATTATTATTGTTCCCTTGGGTTCCTAGTGGAACACAGGGCTTCAACTGCACGTCTCCACTTGCTTCTGTCTTCTGCTGTACTTTTCACCTGCATCCATGTTAGTCCACACTTATTCAACTTCTCTTCACACGATCTCATCCTCGCCTAGATTACTAGCTCGCTAGTTTTCTAGCCGGTCCCAAGCCCGAGTAAAGAGGGAGGGTTGGGGCGTGGTGCTAGCAACTCCACCCCCAAAACTGAACCAAATCGCTACAGAAACTTCAATGCACAAATACATTAAAAATTCTAAAAATATAAACAATAACCTTATTTTTCGCTGGAGTCGGGGAAGTAAAATGAGGCAGGCTGGTGAAAGCCTTCGGGAAGCCGGTCAACCGATGTGCCTGTTTTCGATGAAAGCAAAAATAAGGATGGGTACGTGGAATGTTCCTACAATGTACGAGACTGGAAAGGCTGCCCAGGTAACCGCAGAAATGAGAAGATATAGAATAGAAGTGTTGGGAATCTGCGAGACCAGACGGAACGGATGTGGAAGGTGCCAACTACGAACTGGAGACACAATACTATCTGGAGTAGTGCCAACTAATTAATTTATTCATGTCGATATAAAACACAATACATCCTTTATAAATAAGTATCTACTTACCACCTTGTCACTATAGTTAAAAACTGGTTCATTGAAAACAAATTTCTGTGGCGCTGAAGATGTTTGTAAAATGGAAGGAGGTACAGGAACTTCTTTGCCTAAATGATAAGTGTTTGGTTTTGCAGCTGTAACTGGTGCTGTTTGACTAAGTGACTCTTGGAAAGACGTGGAGATAACACTATCATCAGCATCTCTTTGGTTGATTGATGGCGGCGCTGGGATAGGTGGAGAATTTGAAAGTCTCGATATGCCATTAACTTTCGAGTGTGATACAGTTTCTGGTTCACCATGTGCTGACCCACCACCTAACAGCGAACGAAATTGTCGAGATAGTTGGAATTCATTTGCATCACCATGTGTGTCCCATGGGAAACCACCTAAATGAAAAGATGTCCCAGCACCACCACCACCACCACCGATTGCAGTTCCATGAGTGACGAATGTTGAAGTGAAACCTCCATCTGATGAACTAAGAGAAAAATATTCCTTCAATTAGTTTTTATCATTTCTAGAGATATACATAAACACATACCAACAAGAACTGGTAATTTGAAATCAATATAAAATGTTTAGTATTACTACTCGGTAACGTCTTATCTTTACTAAAGTATTCTGAACAATGAAAAACACTAGTTCAAGCAATACAGTAAACACTATAAAAAGTAACCAAAATAAAACTGCATTCGGTCTCAGTTAACGAAAATTAAGAAAGGTGAGAAAGAAACCCAAAAACCCCACTCCTTTGCCCCCTTGGACAAGAAAGAAATATAGACTATTACACATTAGTCGCAAACATCCATCAGCGTATTTGTATTCGCACCTAATCAACACAAAGACAAAACAATGAGAATTCTCAGCTAACCTATTTATAACTAGTTGTGTAACGCCACATTGATTGGAGTAATAACGGTGATATGTCTTAAATTATCTGTGTCCGTAGCTGTCTGTCTGTCTGTCTGTTTTCGACATAGAACTTTGCACAAATGTGCGCCAGTTCAAGTCGCCACATTCCGTGTAGCACGCGAAGCAAGAGAAGAAAGTACAAGAAAAGCATAATAGAAACAGTGAGCAAAGGTGTGAGACAAAGGAGGAGTAATAAAGAAATACAGAACAGTTTCATTGAAGATCATAAGTCACAGGGAGTGGATGCATCTGCGCCACTGAGAACGGTTTTGAGCCATGTCACCAATTGTTTCCAACCATAGATTTTTACCGTCCCGAGGACCCCAGCCTGGAAGTCTACACCTTTCTACGTGGCTTAGACCAACTGTTGTGGATTTCATTGACTGATGCCAAGTTTTTGTTTGACCGCTGCTAGCTTTTTTCCAGCCTGACCCTATATCCGCTAACATAGCTCGTCGAGGGAGGCGATGGCTTGGCATACGTAACACATGTCCTAACCATCTCAGTCTTTGTAGCTTCACGACTTCGTCGATTGATTTCCCCTGTTTACCTAGAACTCTACGCCTAACCTCAATGTTGCTCACCTTATTATGCCACTTTACACGGGAAATAGAACGCAGGCACCTATGATCAAAGACAGCTAGTCTTTACATGTCTTCCACTCTCAGTGGCCAGGTCTCACAACCATAAAGGAGGACGGAGCGGACTGATGAGCAGTACACCCGCCCTTTGGTCGATAGTCGAACATCTCGTCTACGCCAGAGTCGGCGTAAACTAACAAATGCGAAACGAGCCCCTTGTATTCGTGCTGAGAATTCGTCAGAGATCAACCCGTTGGGGCTGATGGTACTTCCCGTAGCTAACAACGGTTTTCTCAGTACAAACGCAGTTCTGCTGGGGGGAGGCTAAATTACTGGCGAGTAATATTGAAGTTAGCCATAGATTGTAAGGCAAGGAGGTCATAAGATAGACGGTGAAGTTTCATCGGCTGGGACGGCTAGGACACGTGTTGCACATGCCAAGCAATTGCCTCCTTCGTCAAGAAATGTTAACTGACAGAATTAAGTTGAAAAAAGAGTTAAATGAAAACTTGGTATCAACCTAGAATCTTTGGCTGTCAGTGATAGCCACTTTAAGAGGTGCCTATTTCTTTTTTGAAAACTCAGTCAGTTGCTGGCGGTCATAGTGCAGGCCGAACGCTCCTACTTCTGAAAGTAGTTTCTCGGAAATATTGGGTAACCAACTGTCCATATTTTGATGGATCTAGACGTATTTTCCTCTAACAGTCATTTATTTCCATCTTTTCAAACTATATTCAGTCTGTGTATTTACTAATGCGCGACAGCTTGGAAATCACAGCACCTTTAATGTCGTACTACAATCATAGCAGCAGTTAAAACACTTGGTAAATTGTCGCCTCATTTTGAACAATAAAAAAAACATTTGTGTAGAGAATGGTGAAGCTTATTCGAAAACCTGTAAGTTCCAGCATACAGTTTCCGCAGTGATTTCGCAATCAGAATGATATTACCCACATCCGTAAAACTAATATGTGTACCGACTGAAAAACTATACAACCATGAGCACCAGGAAGAAATGTAATGGCTAACCAATTATTACGGAACTTATCTTCGTAATACCAAGTCAAATCACCGCTGAATTAATTCTAGGGTGAAAGAGATAATTGTCTAAAAACCAGTTACAAGACTATTGAAATAGGAACAGGCATTACTACCTTGGTAGTTTAAGTTGCCACATCTCATGGCCGCATATTAAGCAGAAGGAAAAATAAATGTAAATCATATTATTCAAGTTAGTAGATTATAAGAATGACTGACTGACTGCTTGAACATAGTAATTTGCACAGAAGTGCATCATTTCGATGTGCCACACTGCACATTGCACACAAAGATAGAAAACAGAGGACTTTCAAGAGAATTCTAATGAGAAATGCACTGCAGAAAGAATAGTAACATGGGAAAACATGAAAATGATCTCGAGTCATACCACCGACAGTCCCCAAACATCGGTTCTTAGTACTCCATGAAATATACAATAAGATGTAAGTGAAAAGAGTCAGACAAATATATAAATGAGGTGCTACAACCACTAGGATCATAAAACGTGAATGCAGGTAAGTCAAAGGTCAATCCAGAGCCACATCATCTACAGCTTTGTAATGGCAGGCTCTAGTGATTATGTAAATCCTAGCCAAAATATTTACACTTTCTTACACCGTTCAGATTAACGGTTTGTGTTTATAGGGACTGATAACCTGCCTTGGTTTGACCACCCCACTCTGAAGATTACTTTTACGTTCAACTGATAGACCATCTACCAAAGGCTGACCAACCGTAATCGTAGATGTAGTGCAGACTGTACTGAATACATCAGTAGGCAAATGAACATGCGTCGTACGTAAAAAGACTTATCAAATGGTGCAATACAAGTACATTTTCAAAGTCTAAAATCCCTTCACAAACAGTAAATATCCCCTAATTAAACTATTCAATTATTATGCTCTAGATGAAAAGTGAAAAACTACTTAATTAAGTAATTGTGTTAAGATTTAGCCTGAAAATTTTGAAGGATTCGAAGAGGGTACAAAACCTCACTCTCAGATATTTACTTAAACAATAAGGTTGTATGTGTAGCCACTAAGCTACTTTTGTCTATAAACCTTTTTATACCATCCACACAAATACCACTACCAAACAGAGAAACAATTCCCTTATAGTAAGTAATTCAGGTTACTCAAATACGTAACCCGGCAAAAAAAAAATACTTCTAACTTTATCCTTTACAAAGGAAAACAAATATATTCCCTGAAAAAAACTTACGCTGGATGGTTCGATGTGCGTGGACCAGTATATACAAAGGCTGCCAACCAGCAAGTAAACTCTAATTGATAATATGAAAGACGTGATGGGTGGATTGGATAATCTTGTAAGATATTAGAAGTTAATGGAACTGTGCTGCTTGTTACAGATGAAGTTGTAGGTGAGTATACTGAATATGATGGAGATAAACTGAATAGAAAAAAATGCAGAATATCAGGACAGTTAACAAGTAATATAGAAATTAATAATAAATAAAACAAACTTGGAATATACAGATGAAAAATTCATGAGACATTTTTACTAACAATTAATTATTGTCCGGTCTAGTTTAAAATCCATCGAACTTGTCATTTTAAAGCCTCAATATGTTAACAGATTTGAATAAATCAGTTTCATTTATCTTTATATGGCTTACCAGTCATGAAACACTTAGGCATATAACGGCTTAGAAACCCGATTGTTATGCTTCATTAGACATCAAGCTGTCCCTTAAGAGTAGTGAACAACAAACAAACGGATTCGGTACCATCAGTAAGACATTAATAAGAACATTTAAGGCAAAATAAGAGATAGAAGTAGTTAATCCCGAAAATATTTGGAATACTTACCAAGGGAAGATCACAGGAAGATATGAATGTTTCAACTTCTCAAACAAAAACCATGACTGCATTAAGTGTTGCTCATATCGAAGCTGCAACCACTCAACTTTAATCGACTCAGTAACCAAATATCGTAGCAAAACCTGGAGAAGGACCATGGACTCATCGTCCACCTAAACCATTACAAATCAACCAGAAGATATTCAAATACTTACTGATTCATCTTCTCCTACGACAGCTGATGTCAAGAGTGCAACACGTTCTCGTGGGGCGACAACATGTGAAATCCTTGACTCTTGTGATACCTGTCCTCGTATATCTCTGGAAGGTATTTTGCTTTGGGTATGGTTTTGTTTATTTTGTTCACTATTTTTCTCACGTTTCTGGTATTCAGTGACAAGGGAGCCAAATTCCGGGATAAGGTTATTGAAGATTTTATGGCAAACATGTGTTGCATTTAATCCAAGAATCTGATACCATATTAGAAACAACCTGATTCCTCTTTTACGAAGTTTCAGTGTATTTTTTTCGTATAGGAGATCTTCGATTACATCAACTAAGCAAATGATTTTAAAAGTAATACACTTACTTATACAGTTATATTGCCATCTTTTGTGAATATTCTCCGGCAATAACAACAATATTTTCTAAAAATTAGATATACAAAAATTAATACAACCTCAAAAACCGCTAGCACTAATTCCAGATCCTTAACATAATTCCCACTACCTGGAAATTTGGAACTATCATTAAATGGGAGCATACCTTTTAGTCTGACATCCCATTCGAGACCAAAGAAGCAGTCACTAAACACCTGGAATATTAGGGATGAATTCTCTATGAAAAAAGCTTGTAATTCATCGTTAGGTAGGTTATCTGAAATTTCAATGTGTTAGGCCTCAACCACTTACCGATGAGGATTTTCAAATGCTTTATTTTATGAGTACTTTCTTTATCACTTAAAAACTTCTTCTTAGACTTAACTGTACTAATTTCACTAGGCTTGTGCCTTCGAAACATAATTCCAACCAGGCATACATTGCCTTTTAAATAATGCTCCTTTCCTTTTCACGCTTAATTTGGTGCAGATAAAAAAATCCTCCAGGTCATATATCATCTCTATCAGCAAGCATGAATCAAATTTATTTCTTTGCACTCAACTCTTGATCAGTCCCATTACTTACCTAGAGTAATTGTAGTAAGTGGGAGGTTGGATTTGGATCCAATATCCAATATCGTCTTTACGAGCTAGTATAGACTAATTTGATTTCTTTTTGCTAGCCTCTTGATTGTGAGGTATAGGTTCCTGATCTTCTGTAAACTTCTACGTAGCTCGTCCAGCCACTCGACTGACTCCAAAACTAGTGATAGGATTAATTATATGTGGTTTGTAGTATGAGGTATGTTAAGACTGTTACTACTGTGAATGGAGTTGTAGCGGTAAATAATTCCCCAAAATTATTGACCACAGCAATCACTCACCATTGGATGCTGACCACCACTGTTTAAGTCGACTTGTTTAGCTGAAGGCTTCCGGTCAAGCATCCCCGCCATTTGGTACCCCGTCGTGTCACGTGCACGATCACTAGCTAGCTAAGCGTTCGTCTGAAGGTTTGTTTTGGTCCCGAAATATATCACGAAGTTTGGACGATCACTTATTGGCTTTTGCTTTGTTTTCGGTAAGCGAGAATAATTTAGAGGCTGTGTAAGATAATTCCGTCAACCTCTAAAGAGTTGATCCTTTCAAGATTTAATCCTCTGGTATCGTCGTCAAAAGAAAAGAGATAATAATTTTTATAATTAGTGAAGTTATTCAAACTAAAAGACAGAAAAAGCAATAAAGAAAACGTAAAAACAGACAGCTGATTGAACTTGAAGTATATATTTACTTCTACCCATTTGTGATTTAGCGCGACCCCAACTATTGTCGTTGGTGAGACATCCATCCACACACGTGACATCTAATTGGACCTCACTGGTCACGACTTCTCACTAGAATGTATATATTGGTAATAATAACAAGTGTAGTTAGAGCTGTCAAGACAGTAAGACGGGGGGGGAGTCCAGAGAATTAGAACGACGAACTTGGTTGTCTACCCCTGAATGGTGTATGGGATTTTAAGGGGATAGGTCATTTGGACGCAGTCCTTGTGTCGCTGCATGATTGTCCAGCCCTCGCTCAAAGGCGTCCACAGACGGTGCAATAGCTACATCTGCCGGTAAGGAATTCCAGGGACGGCAAACCCGCAGTGAAAGGAAGTGAGAGCGCATCCGAGTCCTTGCTCTCTGGTGAGCTATCCTTCTGAGAATTCCACGAGGGAGCCTACACCTACTTAATGGCAGAACACCTTTGTTTCGGTGATTCTGGTCATTTGTTATTTTGTAGGCAGTAATCAAATCCCCCGTAAGCCGACGGTAACTAAGTGTGAACAGGCCTAATTTCTTCAGCCTTTCATCATATGGTTTGTTTCGGAGACCAATCACTCCTTTTGTTGCTCGCCTTTGGACTCCTTCCAAGAGGTTGGCGTCTCTTCTGAGCAGTGGGGGTCCAATAATATTATGCACTTCAAGGTGTGGTCTGACGTATGTTTTGTACAACCTTAGAAGTAGCTCAGGAGTGAGTGCACCTAACTGTCTATGTGTAAAGTGTATGACCGCATATGCCCTGGCTACACCCCCGTGTTATCTACGCTTGTGTCCATTTTAAGTTAGAAGTAGACCTAAGTCGCATTCCAACGTTGTGCAGGACAAGCTTTCATTGCACAGGGTGTAACTTGCATCCTGCAGTCTACAGGTGCGTAACTTCACCACTTTACACTTTTTCAGGTTGAAAGTTATGCCACTAGCACCGCCCAGTCTTCCAGAAGGTCTAGATATGCATGCAGCCTATCTGAGTCCTCCGAACAATTTATTCCCCTCCATATCTTTACGTCATCAGAGTATAGAAGATTTGGGCAGCTTAGACGGCATGGTAGATCACTGATAAGAACCAAAAGCATCAGTTGTCCTAGGATAGAACCCTGCGACACTCCTGATGATAAGTTGTGCCAAGATGATCGGCCTCGATTGACCTTAGTGCGAAGTTGCCTTTCAGTCAGGTAGTCCTTTAACCATGACAGAAGTTGCTTACCCATACCTGCCTGGATTATTTTGTGTAGGAGAAGGTCATGGTGAACGGTGTCAAGTGCCTACTCAAAGTCTAGGAAGACCACATGGACTGGAACGTTCGTATCCCAGCATGATGTCCAATCGTCCCAAGTCGATAGTGGGTTTGATACACAGGATCTGCCTTTCCTAAAACCGTGTTGGGCTTCATGGAGTATTTTAGAACTATAAAAGTATTCCCTGATGTGATCGTCAATAATACTTTCCAGTACTTTTGACACCACTGGGAGCTACTGGTCTATAACTAGTGGCATTTTGCCTGTCCCCACCATTGAAGATTGGAGAAAGGATGGCTTCCTCGAATCCATGGAGCGTTGGAACAAGTCGCATAAGGGCCTACAGAGAGCTTCGGCTCACTGTTTTAGAATAGATGGCCTGATGTCGTCACAACCTGGGGACTTCCAAGGTGTGAATCGCTGTAGCTTCTTCAGTACTATTGCCGGGTTTATTTGGGAAGTAGCCACTAGGTCTTCCTCCTGTGAAGTAGTATTGACACCATTTTGGTCCATAATGGTAATACCCACATTGCTGTTTAGCTTTTTGGCGAAGGCTAAACTGAATATTTGGACCTACTAAAGCGCATCCCCCTGGTTGCTTGATTTTCTTTCCTACACGAATCGATTCACGTTCGCTAGGATATTTTTTAGCGAGGTTAGCCTGGAATGACCTCCTGTCCCTCCTGACTCGCGTTGCACCGGTTTCTGGGTTCCTGGTATGCGTTGTGGTTGATCTGACTCTTAGATACGCGCCACGTAAACCAAGCCTTCCGCTTTGCTTGCAGAATACGTTGCGTGCCTCTCTTCAACCATGACGTCTTTCTCTTGAGCTGTGTTGTGACTAAAGGGACGGTATCCGAGATTGCTGTATGAATAATCGTTTTTACTACTTCCCAGCGTTCATCCATAGGTAGCTCAACCCATCCTAAGGGCCAGTCTGTGTCGGACAAGAGCCTCCGCATTTCAGCATAGTCAGCCTTCCTATAAAAGAGACATGGTCGCGTAACGTCCCACTGCAAATGCTCATAGAGAACGAGATCGAAACCTATGACTGCATGGTCACTACATCCTAGAAAAGTCATGATCTGGACCTATTCGACGAATAGTTCGTCACTAGTTAGAATATAGTCTAGTTTTGATGACTTACCACTAGGGCCCCACCTAGTGTCGTCTCCAACATTCTCAGTCAGTCCCGTGTTTCGAATAGTTTGCAGTAGGTTTCGGCCAAATTTTCCCTTAGCACACCCGGAGCCGAGGTTCAGTAATGGAGCATTGAAATCTCCAGCTATGGTGATTTGGTAGTAGCCCAAATCTCGTATCCCTGTGATAGTGCTGAGCAGTAGCTGATTGTGCTCTGCCCCACAGGTGGGAGATCGGTAGATGCCACCCAGTAAGTGCTTGGTGTGGCCTACGGTGAAATGACACCATATGGTGTCTGGGAGTTCGATAAGTGGTGGGTCCGTTGCGCGCACACATTTAAGTTGCCTATCAAAGTATATAGCAACTCCCCCTCCTTCCTTATTATCCCTGTCTCTTCTGACCAGTATCATATCACCTATACTGATTTCATTGTCGGCGATAGCAGGGTTTAGCCAGGTTCCGGTGAAAATGATCATTTTCAGTTGTAGTCGCCATTGGAGATTTCGGAGTTCGCCTACTTTTCGTCTCAGCCCCCTCACATTGCCATACAGGCAGCTGACAGTGAGTCTCACAAATTCAGTGTGTTGTAGGGTAGTTGACTTGAAGCTGTCTGCTGGTAGGGAACTTAATGTTAGGACTGGCCGGACGATTCCGATGGAACCGTCCCGGTGTAGTTTTTCCCATGGACTTAGGTAGCACACTGTGGTGACACGGGCTTTCATTCTCAGTACTGAATCGCTCTAGTGACACTGAAGCTTGGGGACGTATTAAAGCCTCAGTTCGCTTCCTCCCCATGGTTCGGGGTCTGCTTTCGCAGCATCGGATGTGTCCTCTCATTTTTCCTTTGGTCTTACACCACCGTAGAAGTGCTATTGTGGTGATAGCAGGTTGCTAACCATTTGGTAGACATTAATTTACGTCAATGTCTATGTCGCTAATATTGGTCGTGAGAAAATATGATCAAAACTGATTCAACAACCAATCACAGCAGACTTAACGTGGGCAAATACGATTCGCAGATATATGGCTTAACTTTCTGAGCGACCAATCACAAGCAGTACAGAATAGCTGTCAATCACGTCTCATAAACCGTTAATGCCCAGCTCTCGCTACGCTCGGGCCCACGCTGCTCTTCGAAGATTTCAGAAACGCTTAGTTATAACGGACGCAGAAACCGAAACACCGATTGGCCGCTTGATATTTGTTTATTGTTACACCAACATATAAAAGGAATAAGCGAACTAAGGTCTGTAAACAAATATTACAATAATAAATCATAGTATTACTTCTGACGATGTTTCACTCTTCTCTCTGAACAGCGACCGATGAGACCATGACTGTCGTATTGATGCCTCCGCGAAAATCGGGAAAGTTGATTTTGAGCAAACAACCAAGAATTGATCGTTCAATCTTCAACTCCATTGACAATAGCCTTGAGCAAGAAACAACCAATCAGAAGACCGTGTTTGTCTGCTTGAGTAAGCTATAATAATGTACATGAAATATATATAAATATGTGCTGATTTCCTTAATAAAGGATCTGTTGCCTGGCCCTTGTCCTCTGTTGTTACACTATGGCCAACTGCTCTGAGGGTTGAATGTGACACACAGTAGCTTTAGAGAGCTAATCAGTGTGAGATGAGCAAGGTGAGGTAGTCGGAAAACGGAGATGCCTCCAGAAGCGCCAAGGGCCATCTGAGATGACAGTTACCTCGATTG